CTTCACCTTTCAGTTGCTTCCCATAAACAAAAGCCTTCATTGTATTGGATATCTTATTCTTATTATACCGCTTCACAATTGACTTAAGTTCGGTTTTATTTTCATCCACAGGTATGAGTTTCTTTGAAGGTGGGACATAGATCACAGGTCTTTCAGAATTCATCTTCCTTACAACTGCCTGTTTGATATTCGATAACAAATTCAAACGATTCTGTAACTGCTTGAGTCTTTTAAGTTGGTCCTCTTTTGTAGGACGACAGTGGGTACAGACCTGGACCTGGGGGACAACTGCAACCGCACCTGGAGAGGTTACCTTCACCCCAACTGGATGAATCAACTTAAAACCCTTTTCTTCTTCATTGGAAGTAAATAATTTAAGGGCTTCATTGAAAGGGCATACATGCCCTGGTGAAGAATGGACCATACCACAATATTTACATTCATGCAACAACTCATCAGCAGTTGTAGGCATAGGTATACCTTTAGTTGAAGTTGAATAAGTCCTCTTAAACATTGACTTTACACCAGGATTCTGTGGTCCGAAATAATCTGACTTCTTCAAGAGGTATGTCAAAGGGCACTTACCATTAGTAAACTGACTATGGAACAACCCACATACTTTACATACCGGACGAGGGTTTTTCTTAGGTTCTTCTAACTTCTCAATAGTTTTAGGTTCAGCACCTTTTTCAGAACATGACTTAACCACAGGTGGTATACCTTCAACTTTTATTTTATCTTCCACAGGTAAGACCTCTACTTTTTTATCAACACCATCTTTAGAGACATCTTTTTTATCTTTTTCTTGACCTTGACTTAACCTATAAGACTTATATACCTGTTGTTGAATGGCAGTGGCAGTACCAGGTTTCTTTATATTATGTGTAACACTTATCTTGGTTTTAGGTCTGTGAGAATACAACGCATGCGCATTTCTACACTCACGTCTGTTTTGTGTCCCTGGTAAAGTCTCCTTAGAAGAATACCTGCACATACCTAATAAACCTTTGGGTACCTTAGTAGTGTTAGAATTCCAACTACCAACACGTCCACTACCACCAGAGGAAGTCCTTCTTACTTTTGTTCTTCTAACCTCTTTCAAGTCTTTTACAGGTATGTCATCCTTAGGTCCATCAACAGATTCAGATGCTTTGAAAGCCCAACCTCTAGGGGACTTGAAATGTGCAGCGTACATCGGGAATTTAATCTTCAACTTTGGTGTTGTTCTAGGTACATAGGTAAACAGATTCTTCTTCTTTGCAATTTCACAGAATGACTTGTAAACTGACACAGGGAGTCTTCCATATTCATAATCACCATCTTCTGTGTTCTGATCAGCTGATTCAGTTAAATCCAAAGCTGGTACCGCATGTTTTAACTTCTTCTTTTCCAGAAGAGTAGCTTGAGCTATTTCTCTAGCCTGTTGCCATCTTTCTAAACTTTTCTGCTTCTTTAAATGTCTCTGCCAGATGAGTTTAGGTTTCTCATCGTTTAACATATAATATGGTAACTTATTCTTGGTAATCTTCGTTTTGAGTACAGGTTTCTTCTTTGCTTGCAACAACTCTGCATAGTCAGCTTCAGTCAGCTGTTTTGTAGTCTGATTCCGATAACACTGCGCTGGTGTGAGTTTAGCCATAAACTGTTCTTTGAATGAAAGCTCTCCCACATCAATTGGTACCCTCTTCAATGGAGCATTAACCTTGAATTCTCCTTGTCTCGCATCTTTAATATCCAGTTTACCTGTGTGTGGATTTTTTACCAGTTGGAAGAACGGTTCATGGGTATCTTGGTGAGTTTTCTTAACATGTTTAATTTTTGCGATATTTTCAACAATGTCAGGATGGAGTTTAATCTGTGACGGAGCAAAAACACACTTTTTCAAATCCCTGGAAAATGTATCAGCAGTATAATCAGGATCTTCATAATCCATCGAAGCTAAATCAACAGTCTTTGAACTTTTTCTTAAAGCAATCGAATCATATCTGTTGGTTTTGATTTTATCTTTAAACTCTGGTTTCAGAAATGGTCCTGCAGCTGTCATATAACCACTAAAAGCGTGGTTTGATTTAACAGGTGCGACATTACAAAGTTGGTTATTTTTCGTAGTATATTCAGCGATGGTTTGTTTAATGGTCTTCTTAACCAAATTCAAATTATCCCCCAAATCATTTCCTTTATTCCATGGCGAACTAGGATAAACAGGTTTTGACCAATTGGAGAATTCACACACTTGCATTCTTCGAGTTGTGGGTCTGGATAAAAAATTACTCCTGTCTTCCATTTTGGGTGTTGATATGCAACCAACATCACACGGTGTTCCTATAGATGGCGCACTTTTACTGACAGTACAATTCTCTTGATATATTTGATGGAATCTTTCAATATTTGACATTTTCTTGCTTAGTTTATTTTGAGCTTGACCCAAGTAGAATGATCGGACGTCACGTCTTGGAGCACTGGCACTCTTCCTCAGGAAACATCTTGAACTGGGTCGGGATCTCAAAAAAGGCGCCATTTTCTGTTTTAGACCAACTTCTGTTCTTTCAAGTGGGAATTTTGCTTTCTTACTAATTTCATCTAACAAATCCGCGTTTTTCCTGATGATATCCATTTTGCTTTGATGTTGTAACGTGGATACAAACCGAATCTGTTTGAGATTTCTTGAGATGATCTTGCTTTGTGGCGCGGTGCGTCGTAGACATATCTGTCGTAAATCGCCATTTAATGGCGCGTACAACATGCGAAACCATTTGAAATTCATTTTGAGGTTATTTATCTTCTGTGATTAAAATGATCATCAAAATTTTCTCATCATCAATATTTGAGATTCGTCCACCTGATATTTGCGAAAACGATTCGAAATCTAATATAAGAGGCAAAAACCGAAAATAAAACTGATACAATTTTGTAAATCAGTGTGGGGATACGGCGACGAAAATTCAAAAATGCGACGGCAAATTTTGAGGAGAGGCTCGTCGAGAACACATTAAACGAAAACTGACTTTTGCTTCTGTCAACCATGGTCACCATAACAACCTGTCAAAAAATAATTCAAGAAATAAAAAACAAAGAATTTTAAAACAATTGCCAATTTAATCCTGTCCAAATATAATATTTATACAAATTTCAGAATTTCGTAAAAAAACTTCAGATTCGTCATTTGTCACTTAGCCTTGACTCCTTTCACAATCTCAAACACATCCAGGATCTTCTGGTTGTGTTGGCGTTGAGCAATCTGGATATCCTTCTCTAATTTAGACAAACGAGGATTTTCAGATGTAGAATTTGATTTTACAGATCCCCCAGACGGGGTTTTGGCCTTCATGGTAGAAGAAACCATAATTTTGTTACTGGCACATTCAGAACCATCATCATAATCATTCAAATCAGTCAAGGCCATTGAAACATCATCATTCAAACTACCTCCTTCATTATCTTCAGACACAGATTCCTTTGGAGTAGTTTCCGATTTCAACACACTGTAACAGTTCTTCCCATCCCCGGAATGAGACCTAACCCTATTCCGAGTTTGGTTATCAAAAGAAACCTTTGGTTGTGCTGTGAGTTTATCTTTATCCAAAACAACAGATGCATGTGCATGTGATGACCTCCCATAGCTAACCCCACTCATAAAACTATTCCTACGTTTTGGGGCTTCTTCTTCCTCCTGTTCAATATCTTCACATCTATGGGCATGTAGGACATTATTTTCGTAAACTTTACTCTGTGCCAAAGCCTCCTGAAGAACATGTTCTAACTCCTGTCGGATATCTGTATCCCTTTTTGATTTCCTCAGGGTTTTATCCAGTTTAATAACCTCCATCTTCACCATCTCCACATGTTTCTTCTTTAGGACCTTGGGATCAGTAACGAAGACCTGATCATCAGAAGCTGAACACATTTCTAAGTATCTTGTATTGTTAGCCTTTTTCAGTTGGTTATAACTTGCTTCCATGGAAGTCCTCGCAGAAGAGTCACTCTGCATAGACCTATTCTGCGTGGTGTTATTAATGGGCTTCACATTAACATTCGGAGTCATCACAGGAGTCTGACCTGATGTCCCCATATACTGATCAAACCTCTTAGAAGACGACTTATTAGATTTTTCTTGAACTCCTGAAGTTTTAGGAGTAGCAGGAAAAGTAACACCAAAAGACTTCACAGGATTCAACAGGACCTTTGTATAATGATTCTTCAAAGTCTGCACTCCAGAATCACTCTCTTCAGCATGTCTGGAGTACGGTGACATGGAAGTAGGTTTAGGGCAAGTAACACGACTTCTAGGTTCCTCTTTTAATTCTGTGATTTTGTAATCAATGGGTCTGACGAATTCCCTCGCAGTTTCATTACGGGTTTTGGTGATGCTAATAGTCTCACTTTGACTGACCTGACTCCCTGAAGAAGCCTTGGAAGAAGCAATGGATTTAACATCCTCATCATCATCAGGCACCTTAAAAGCAGCCTTTGACCTTGGAGATTGTTTCGCAGTAGGCATCTCACCATGAAACCCTTTGGAATTTAAATACTTCATCTTGGATCGTTGATCTTCATCCATATTCTCATTGATGACATTGATATATTTATTTCGTAGATAATTCGCAGCAGTCTGCGGTTTGATCTGCTGACAATCTGATCCTGACATGTGAAACTGTCTGCAGAAATTCACCGAAGCATCCATTATATTATCCAACCTAATCCCAACCATTGTAGTGTTAGGTTTGGGCTCACTATTAATTGCTGGTACCCGTGGTGAGGCCAGATCACGAGTATGAAAACGTCGAAACCAACTGATCGATGACATTTTTATAGAATTTAGTATCCGAAATCAAATGAATTTGAACGATTTGGTAATAATTATCACTACCACAAATTTTTGAATTAATTAAATGCGTGCAGGGTCCACAAAAAAAAATGCGCTGAAAATTTTGACGCTCGGCAATTGCCGATGCATTTCAGGACTAAATGCTGTTTGACAGTTACCAATAAACAGCAAAACATTCAAATCCAGGCAACTATGACTCGCCTGTGTTTATTTACAAATATTTATACGATAAAAAACAGTTTGATACAAATTATTAATTATGATATTCTTTGGAATACTCGTATACAGATGTCATTCTGTTTTCTAAAATGTTACAGCATGAGTGCTTACGTGTAAGACTAGATCTCACACTGGTCATATCATGGTCAATATCTCGCAGGTCAAAAGACGATGCAGATTTTATTTTGAGTTCTATCGCGCAGAGTTCGATGATATTCTGGACTAATGCTTCGAATGTTGTAAGATTCCTTCCGACTCTTTCTTTGTGGAGGTTATCTTTTTCATTTGGGGGTCCGATGAGGATATTCCACCAACTTTGGAAGATGTCGTCCATAATGGTTACTTTACAGTCTGCTTTTTTTCGTAGATTATCAAAATGTCTAAAGAGTAGAATGAATTCTTCAGGGATTTCGTTCAGAATCTGTTTTATTTCGGTTTTGTCTGAAAATTATTAAAAATTTAATTTTTGGCGGGAAAATATTGAAGAACACTTACTTTTACGTTCGACTAATGATTGCATATCGTAGAAATCTATAACATAACCTATTTCTTTAGTAACTTCCTGCAGGACTTGCCCGAAAACAAAAATATCAGCTTTTGCTAAATAACGCCCGAATTCTTTGGAGTTTTCTTTATTGTATTTCCTCACTAGTTTTTCTACGATACTAGCTTTGCCTTTCCCACGATAAACTCCTTTGAAATCAGGTGTAGATTCTATCTTTGATATTAGAGTCTTAATGAATTTCAAACGATTACACTGTTTATTCTCATCACATAAACCTGAAATTTAAAATTTTAAATTTTAAAAATTTACAAAAAAATTAAAAAAATTATATTTACTCATTGTTGATCCCATTTTGTTTAAGGATTCCATAGATTTAGTTAGCGATTTCATCCTGGCACGTCCCGATAGTTGTATTTGGAAGTTACCCAATTTAGCGGCTACAGTCTTTTAAATTTTCAAAATTGGTTAAAATTTTTGTAGAAACACAACAAAACACAGAAAGCTCCACCCCAATGCCGATAAATATGTTTATTTATAAATACAATGAGGATACAAAACTCTAGCACATTAACACCTATCCCACAGACATAGAAACACTACAAGCTGGTCTTCTGTAAACTCACTTGTACGTAATTCCCAGGGGGACCAAAATTCAAACCCCCAGAATTCCTAGGTTGACTTGAGTTACTCCCAATTGACGTCTTAGAACCATGGATGCTGTTATTCTTAATGTTAGTGTTAGAATCTATAGAAACCTTGGGTTTCATATAGCTCTCAACCGAAGCTTGTCTCTGAGGTATTCTGCTAGGTTTGGGAATAGGATTTACATCTACATTTACATCTACATCTTTGGTTGCTTGTTCTTTGGATAATTCTGAATATGAATGTGATTCAGAATCATTTATATCTTTGGCATTGTAAGCTCTGAGAAGCAATTCTACAACTTCATTCTTCCTCCTGGCCATGAGAACAGGATCAGAACCTTCCTCCCCGGTGATCATAGACTGACCCCAACAAATACTGATACCTTCAATGGTCATATCATTCTTATCCTGGTGAGATATCACTTTGATCAGGTGTTTCAACAGGACATCTAGAGTACACTTGTGTGATGGCAGCATAGTTTGGATAATTCTGTATATTGCTTCGTATTTCAACTCATTGAAATCATCACTTTGACATACTTCAAACATCCTCTCAAAGTGTTCGTTACTTATCAAAGGTTCTTTCAATTCTCTGATAAACAGCTTTAGTAATCCACTGGGGACATCAGGACTTGTTTGGTATTTCTCTAAACTACTCAGATTGGTCCCATGGGTTGCATTGATAGCGAAACGTATATCCTGAAGAGTAGCCAGACTTGCACTGGATCTATACAATCCCTGAGTATCTATATTTGCTGGTAACTCAACGTATTCAATACATTTCAGTACCAGACTAGGTATGGCTTGGTTGTGTTTCAGGTGTAGAGCCTGTAAAGTGTTACCGAAAACGTTTTCGTTTTTCAGAATGCCTCTGTCGAGTAAAGTGTCTCTTGCGGGACGTAGTTTAAACAGCTGCATTAAACGATTACGCATGTCTGTTTTCGCTGGTGCTGCTCGGACTGATTCTGGTGATGGGGCAGGTGAGAGTTTTTCTTTTGAATTTTTCGAATATAGATTTATACGTTTTTTATCCGGGAGGATAAGGATGTGTTCTTTGGGGCTTTTTTGTTCAATTTTACAATGTTCAAAGTCTTCTGTTAAAGTCTACAAAAAAAATTTAAAAACATAACATAACCTAATTTATAGTCTATGGTTTTTAACCTCAAAATTAACAAACCTTTATTCCTTCGCTGTTTTTATGTAAAAGTCTTCCATTTTGGTTCTCAATCACTTCGTTTTTGTTTAACTTGATCACTTGGTTATCCATTTTGTACTTTTTCACATTATGGAAGTCAAATCTAGAAAACATCATCAGATAACCAGTAAAAACGTTGATAATTATTCCTCACTTGTTATCTCTAGAGTTTGTATCCCATGATATTCCTGGACTTTGTTGTCCCAACATCATTTCCTCCCGTTTGCTATCCTTGCGTTGACTATCAACACTTCTGATTTCGTTGTCATAATTAGAAGACACCTAAAACAATAATAAATTAATTAATAACAAATAATTAACTATCAAATACATTACTTTAGTATAAAATAAATATGAAAAGTCCATATTACAACACATGCATAAATTATCCATATACATATGGAATATTATTTAAACAATAAAAAGTTATTAATGTTAATTTTCAAGTTAATTTTTTTTTTCAACACTGTGAGTTTTATTGTTCTGTTATTTGTTATAAAATCAATGTGGTCTAGGCACTCAATTAAACTGAGTTTTCAATCGACATCGACACGCCTTATCATCAACCACACCACATCACACATATAACAAATGTTATCAGTGCGCTGATAAAAATGATTAGTCACATGTACGCAATTTGTATTGCGCATAATGTTCGAATTTTACCTCAGGTTCTGGTTCATATTCACGCATTAATCTTGACATCCACATGACGACATCTATCGGCGGGAGGTTGTCACAGTCATTCTTAACCTCTTTCTCTGCATCTAAATCCTCCAACGGTAAATATTCTACTGTTTCATCAAAAGCAAACGAAACAATATTCTCCCTGGCGTTTTTAATTTCCAAATTAGAAATATTCCGATTTAAGGGTTTTGGAGGTGTAGAAGGTTTAGAAAATTTCGTCCTAGGAGCAGGAATGGGTTTATAACCTTTGAGGTTAGAAGTATTCTGTGTGTAACACTCCCAAATATTCATATAAGTATCATCTTGTGGGTTTTGTGTTTTTGGGAGAATGATAGCTCTCCTTGCATGGGATTCTACATCTGATTCTACAACTGGAATCACAGATCGCCGATTAGGTTTATCTTTATGTCTCAACTGAACAATATCAGTATTATGACTCAGGTTGAATGAATCAAGAGATTTTCCTTTTTTCAGCGGTTTCAACGCATTTCTACATCCTGCTTCACTTCCAAGTGAACACAAAGACCTCCATTCTTCACGCTTCCAATCGTCTTCATCTTGGATTGAATAAGTGTAACTATAACTATCTTCTGTTTGAAATGTAGATCCCGAACATGTAGATACAGAATCCATCTTGAAATCAGCATATAGAGAATTCACTGTGTAAGTTCCAGAAGACTGCGAGGAAGATGTAAAATCAATGGTATCATCTAAACCTCCACAGGAAACAAAAGAATATGTCGAACTCAATGACATTGTAGAATCACGCTGAGCAAAAACTTCCTGTTGTAATTTCTGTAGTTTTGGATTGTTTATTGTCGTTATGTTAACATAAACAGGTTGATTTTGTAGGTTCTGAGTCTTTTCTTCTGATTCTAATTCTACGTCACTTACATCACTTAAAAAGGCGAATTGATCAAGAGCATCTTTTACAGTTTCATCAGTTAACTGCGAATCTCTTCTTTTGGTGTTTTTGGAGTTTTCAACGTGTTGTAGATTTTCTCCAACTGAAGAAGTAAGTTGGAAATCAACTCCCCAAGCATCCCCAACACTCCAAGCTTTCTTCGCGCGTTCCTGGAGACATAACTCAGCAAAACTTTTCTTATTACCAAATTTTTTCATTGGGACACTTCTCCTGACACTTGCATTGCGTAATAACACTTGTTCAATTTCAGGTATATCAAACATTTCTTCTTTGGAGATTTTACAAAAACACTGAGAATTTTTTAGTTTTAAAGCACTTTTTTCTTCGTATATATCAAAATGTGAACGCAGGTCTTTCAGCCACGAGTAGACACTCGAAACAATCATTTCAGCATTACAAACTTGACTTAAACTATCAAACGCATACTCATACAGAAAATAATCACAAAAATGATTTAACAAAGCGTGTGTTGTAATGCTATTGTATGTTATCAACCGTCAAATGAAAATGTAGATTATTCACGCGTTTCCTGTGATAACTCGTGTTTAAAACTTTCAGTTTTTAACGAAACACTTTTTTTTAAAACACTTGACACATTTTCAACTGCACACTTAAGCTATTTATAACCGACCAACGCGTTTAATCTTCTTTTAATTTAATTTTAAACCCAAAACTTTAATTTTTTTTCTTTCATGAATATTAAATGTAAATAAATTAATTTGTTTCTCAATGCAGCTCTACAACATGACTGTTGACTTGCGGTTGACGACGATTGCGACGTTCTGCTCGTTTGATGATCTCGTTCGAAGCCACTTCAGACAGTTCCAACACTGTCTACACTATTCTTACGCGTTTTATTTACAATTACTCCCCCACTAATTCATGCCTCACACGAACTCAGCGAATGCAGCGCGTGCATTTCTTCTCTTTTCACTGCACTTTGTTTTAATTCATCGAAGAAATGACTCATTTAACGTTATGAATGTATAATAACTACGAGTACATCATATAATAACTAGTGTTTGAAGTAAATTGATGCACGTTTGTCAATGTTACTGTCTTGTTCATTACAGTGTTGAATACGGAATGCCGAATATTGAACGTTTTATATGTCGTGGAATTTTCGATAAGAATTGTGTTTTAAAACGTAAAACAACGATTGGGAATGCGTAATACGTTTCGATGACTAATTGCTTACAATCCATTTCCATTTATGTGATTGTTATTTGTATTGGAATGTTGTTAATGTTTTACTAAATAAATATTTAATTTTTCTGTGCGTAGAAAACTAAAAAATGATTTTTTGTTTGTTTTTAAGTTGTCTGTTGGATAAAATAGCTTCAATTTGGTTTTATATGTTGAATTGTAGTAATTGATCAATTTAAGCATTAATTGCACCAGCTTGATTGGATGACTAACCGCTTGACGATCCCTTTGATCAATTTCATTCAATTTAGTTTCATTCACTCGACGAGATCACGATAAAAATGTTTTTGTAACTGCTAATACCAAATTCTCTCTTTATTTATGTTTATCTATTTCGCAGTTATATTATTCATGTGTTTTGATGTGTTTATATGTGTAATTTCCGTTTGTAATTATTTTCATTCTGGATGCGACGTGATTTGTTTAGAAATGTGAAATACATATTCTATTTAATTTCGAATTTGTCTTACTCATACCATAAATCATGATGTGATGATGTTGATCTTTATTCAGGTTGGCCTGCTGATAAAAAATTATCACGAGCACTTTCAACTCACATTACAAAGTCAATAGATTATTGGTTATAGCTTTGTCTGTCAATATTGGTTCTAAATCGTTGATAAGATTAGCGGCGTAAATTTTGTTTGATTGATTTTTTTAGATTTTAGTTTTATGATTTAATTCCTGAGGAATTTTGTTTGTTTATAATGTTGTAGGTTGGTTTGGTGGTTTGTTAGTAATGCACGCAGAAAGATTCAACAAATGACTGAGCGAATAGATTGACGGCGAAAAGGGAAGCAGACCATCATCAGTCGGCAACAATTGGCAATTATCAATAACAACTAGTTCCTATGTTATTAATCTCGCTTTCAATGTGTTTAGTTTTATCAATTTAATTAAATTTCCTTTTGTTAATTGCTTGTTTATTGTTTTTGTTGCGTGGAAGTCCTTAAGTTATAAATTTGAGTATAAAAGTTTTTAGTAAATTTGAAATAACTTTTGTTATAGTTGTCGGATCTGATTTTTGTTTAAATTTTCTGAAAGATTATAAAATTTTCTTCAATTTTCATTAAGTTGTAATAGCTCAAATTGTGTATAAATATTGTAAATTATTATTTAAAACTTTCTAAATTAATTTTAAAATTAAATAAAAACTTTTTTAGAAAACACCCTGTATCTTCGGAACTAATGATTTTATCTACATTATTATTGCGTGATATTAAAGTCAATTAAATTTTCTATGAATCACTGTACTTTTGGTTATCATTGAATCAATATAACTACTGCTAAATTCACTTTGTAATCCACTTTCTTACTTTGCTGTACCAAAGTTGTCAATTTAAGAAATTTAACTGTAATTCTTCTTACAAAACTTTGAATAACTTTTCTAATAATTGTCCGATTTTAATTTTGTTTTCACTATTAGAAACACTATAAAATTTTCTTTCTTTTTTGTTAAGTTTGAATACATTAAATTGTTTATAAATAACCTAAATTGCTACTTAAAATAAAATAAATAAATTTCACATTTAAAAAAACTTGTTTTACAAAACCCTCTGTATCTTCAAAACTAATAAATATATCAACATTATTTTTACAGAATAATAAAAAGAATTAAATTCTCTAAGACATACATTACTTTTGTTTATCTTTAAATCAATATAACTACTACTAAATTAACTTTAAAATTCACTTCTTATTTTTCTAAATATTGTGTTTATAATTAACCTTTAAAACTTACCTTAAAGTCATTGAAAGTATGTCTTGCTTTACTCCTAGCCTTAAAATCCTTAAAATCCAGTTCTTTGCTCTTTTTCCTCAGATCCTGATACTTTTCGCTTGACTTCAACTCTTTGAGGACTTTCGTCCCATCGTCTGTAACAATAGTCACGTCCTGCATTGAAACACTATGTCGTCGATTATCCGCTTTGATTTTATTCTTAGACCGGAATAAACTATTGATAAATGTTTTACTCCTCGTGAGCTTTTTAGAACTTTCCATCCTATATGCTATTTGTTTTTATTAAACACACAACGTCACACAATTCACGCGCGATTGAAACCAATTGCATTTTAAACTACGCCGCCATTTTATCGCATTTTGTTTTCGATCCTTTTATCATCCTATCTAATTTAAGATGAACACGTTGATACACATTAATACACTTAATAAATTATAAATAAATGAGTATCACTCGAACGTTTCCAATGAGTTTTTATTTATTTTTAATGTTATAGTTTATTTTTGGTTTATTTTTGCATGCTTTTACTGTGTTATGGTTTCAATTGCGGAACAAGTAGCACAATATTTTCATTATCAAACCACGTTGATACTCGCGCCACAATTTTATTACTGAGTCATGCAATCTCTCATTGTTGTTCTCGTTATTATTTTTATAAAATTTGTGTAGCCTTCGGACGCGGTAAGCACGTCGCTCGGAGCCGATTGCACGAAACAATTTGTGACAAATTAAATTACCGTCGACGGAGCTGTTATCGCTGTTAGTCTTATCAGACTTAGTACTACTGATACGCTTTATCACTTTAAGCTAATGCATTACTATTGCATCTATTTTATAAACGTTTGATAGCTTTTAGTATTATTTTTTAAACTTTTTATTTTGTTTATACTAGTTTTACTTTCAGTTTTAAATTTATTATTAATATATCTACAGGTAAGTAATTATTTATATATTAGTTGATTGATAATTAAATTACACGTAGTTCTACGTTTACTAAAACAAAATTCATTTGTTTTTATGAAAGTTATTAACATTTATATATTGTTCTACTAGTATGATAGTTTTTATATGTTTAATTGTATGAAATTGTATTTAAAAACTTGTTGATTTAAATAAAAACCACATATATTGTAAGATTATTTATTTATCTATTGTATTTTATACATATTTATACTGTATTTGTCGTTTTACCATAGTTATCTTCAAAATTGTGTTAATTTTTTGAAATTTTATTAGGTTTCAGTGTTTCACTATATGCAACTAGTTGTACGCACATTTATAGTTTTTAAAAATACATCTTCTGACACTTTCTGTGGTCCTGATTAATTTACGATTATTTTTAAGCACAAATTTCGGTGTAAAATGAATTGAAAACGTCTTGTAGTAACAGGATTACAGAATATGCAAGGAGATAGGAAAAGTTTTTGAATTTCACGCTCACATGTGACATCTATAGGCAGCGGATGAAAATGTATTATTAGAAATTCATATAGGAATCGGATAAGAACTAGACAAAAACACCCTTTAACTTGTGATTAAAGGGTCCAATCTTAATTTACTCTTCTGAATTTTGTAGAAGAAAAATATGCCTTTTATATTATGTACATTTCTTCCATCTGAAGCGCTTGAAAATGCCCTTTATTTGTCAATTAATACATACTATCTTAGTGATTCTTCAGAACATGCATTGAAAATGCCCTTTATCTTGCGATTCAAGGGCTCAATCTTAATGTACTATACTGCATATTGTAGAGAATGAATGGACCTAATGTTGTCTATATAATTTTGCCCTTATAAAGTTTGGAAATGCCCTAAAAGTGACAGTAATTCTATATAACTGTTAGAAATACTTTATGAAAACACAGGGCGGAAAACTTTAATTTACTGGCTAACGAAAGGTCCAATCTCAATGCACTTTTTTGCAAATTATAGAAAAGAAATGTGTCTTTTGTTTTCTGTAAATTTTAGCTTTGTAAACTATTAGGAAATGCTCTTAATTTTGTATTACATATAGGCTATCTTTAAGATTTTTCAAAACATGTTGTGGAAAAAACTCTATATCTCCCGATTTAAGGGCTCAACTTTAATGAACTCTACTGCATTTTATAGATGAAGAGTGGACCCAATGTTTGCTGTATAGTAATGCATCCCAAAGAGCTTAGAAATGCCCTAAAAATGCTAGTAAACCTAGGAAACTTTTATAAATTATCAAAACATATGTTGGGAAACTTGATATATCTTCTGATTGAAGGGTTTTATTGTATTGTTCTTTTTTGAATGTTATAGAAGAAGAGTTTGCGCTTCGTTTGATGTATAGTTTGAGTCAATACAAGGCTTAGAAAGGCCCTAAAAATGCCTTTGAATATAGGCAATTTTGAAATTTTCAAAAACACGCATCAAAAACACCCTATATCTCGGAAATGGCTGAACCAAACTGAACCAAATCTACTTCAATTTATAGCCAGAGAGTTGCCCTTTAATTTGATATACATATTAACCGTGTAAAGGGCTTCTAAATGCCCTAAAAACGCCTTTAAATATAGGCAATTTTTGAAAACTACCAAAACACGCTTCAGAAAACACCCTGTATCTCGGAAATGGCTGGACAGAACTGAACCAAATCTACTTCAGGTTATAGCCAGAGAGTTGCCCTTTAATTTGATATACATATCAACCGTGTGAAGGGCTTCTAAGTGCCCTTAAATCGATGTTAAACTTTGACAATTTTTGCACTTTTTATAGGTTTTCGTTAAAAAACTCAGTATTTCTAATAGTTTTATGCTTTTCTATTAATTATATAACATTACAGTCCATTTAAACCTATAAAAAGTAGTTTTTAAACAAAATTTTAAATCCGCCAAAGTTGCGAATTCGTTCGAAAATCCATTGAAATCTGATGAAACATCTCAGCCTCCTCGCACATTCTGTTCTCCTAATGACTCAAGTCGGATTTTCAGTCGATTTCGTATCGAAAATCGAGACGAAATTGAAGTAAAATTTGCTTGTAGTATTAGGAGAGCAGAATGTGTGAGGAGGCTGAAATAATTTGGCGCGTTTTGAACAGAATTCAAAATATTTACAGATTTGAATTTTCAAACAGGCGGGGACAAAAATGATTTGGCGGGATTTTCAAAAAACATAAACGAGATTTTTTACTTTATTTATTTTTAAAATTAAAACTAAATTTCCTGAAAACGAGAAAAGTAAAAGGAGACATTAGGAAATAAAAAAAATCGATTTAAAAGATTCAAAGTTCTTTAATGCTTTAATCAATTACATATGAAAATCAATTGGAATCATATTGAAGAAAAATCAATTAGTAAATAGTCGTAATTTTCGAAAACAGCAAGTTGTCGACAAAATAAAATATACAACTCATTTGATTTGTGTCCACCTCGTCAGATACATAATTAAACCACCTGCAACAAGAAAGCACACAATTAGCACAATCCAGCAGCGAATAGAAGCGAGAGCACTAGCTGAGACAGCACTCCACGGAGCAGTCTCGACTAAAAGAGGCTTCAGACTGATAACAGTCTTAATAGCGAGTACAAAAAAGGCTCTCCGCATGTGTTTGCTTTACAACTAGAGATAACAACACACAAACCAGGTCTCAATCAACAAAAAACTAGGAACAGAGTATGCAAATGAGCGAATAAATAGGCGTGAGACAATGATGGATGAGTGTGAAAATCAAACACAACGCAGCCATAGACATGTAGTATGTACAGATTCGGTGCATGCATCAATTATGTTATCACGAACAAAGAAATCGGGAAGTAAATCAATTAATAGTCATCAATCATCAGCTAGAACACAGTTAATCTTGTTCGTCGTGAATGTCTTTTTGTGTTTGTTGTTTTCATTTCTTTTAAACAACAAAAGGGGCAAAATATTGAGGGGATATTGATGAGTCAAAAGAATGGACTTTCAAACACAAAGTATCGTGGTGTGTCGCAATCGTTGGAGAGAACTAAAATTATTCGAATATAAAAAGAAAAATGAGTAAATAAATAAAGCCACAAGTACCTTCGTCCTCATCATCATCATCATCAAGTTCACAGACTTAGAGCAATTTACTTGTCGTTTTTTTGTTCTGGGGGCAAAATCTGACTGCGCGCATGCCTTATCCTACTTAATCCTGCACATTATCCTTCCGTACGTCCCACCACACGCCTCCTTCGGGGGCATCCTCTCCCTCCGCGCTCCTGTTTCCTGTCCGCCTTTCGCGTCCGCTCACTTCATCCAGAGTCCTTAGTCCTGGCCTCATCCTACGCATCCCTAAGTCCCACGAAGTCCTTTTTCGGGCCGGCGACTTTCGTGTACGTTTTTTTTTTATAAATTAGGTTTAAATTCGTGTAACTGTGTGTCTGATGCTTTTTAAGGTGTCTTTATGTGATTGAATTTTATTTGAGTTACGAAAATCGGGTCCTACACAGAGTTTTGATCCTGGTCTAGGTTCTCCACGATGAAGTGATTACGATCTGAGCGAGCGCCGGACGCAGAAGAGAGCAACGCGTGTCCGAGTTTTTTGTTATCCTAATCCTGACCATCCACGCAATTCCTTTCTCCCCCACAAGTTTACAGCCGCAAATCCTCTTGCGCGCGCGTCGCGCAAGCTTTCCGTTTTCATCCTGCCAATCGTGTTTTACTTTATTGCATTTTGTTTTGAACGGTTTATTATTCAATTCCGACATTGTGAATGGCAAGAACGACAACAGAAAAGAAATACATTATTAGTTTTCAATGTGCAGCAATTTGAACATAAAATCAGCATAAATTTACTAAATATTTCATTATTTTTTTTAATCAATTTGGTCCTAAATTTTGCTATATTTTTTTTGTTTGGTTTTCTAATTGCAAAAATTCATTACCACTTGGAATGCTTGAGTTTTAGTATAAAACTAATATACATCATACAATAAAAATCTGCAGTCTTTGTGTCAAAAACTTAAGTAAGTCTCATTCTAGTAAATTATTATTCCCTAATTAGGCTCACCACAAATTTAAGATAATTGTGCTTAGTGCAAAAAAATAATTACTTTGAACTTTTTACGATAGATTCTAGACAGTGTCGGCTGAGCAGCATGGTGAAGCCTAATCGGGCAATCCAACAATCACGATAAAAATACATACGTTAATCTCTCGTCGCTTTTGCGGCGATGGACGCGTTCGCTTAAGAGCGAGAGCGGCTACGCGAATAGCTGCGCTTCACGGGGCTGTAAGTTGGTGAGCCTCGTCGTCTCGGAGAAAAGGAGCGACTTCTTGATCGTCCTCCAGACTTCCTCTCTGATGCACCGCGATCTTCTTTTACTCTAATGTATGATACTTCTCCCTGCACAAGTAAAACATCAAATATTATAAAGGTAAAGATGTCAGCTTTTTATAATAATAAAGATTTATACTCACCTCATGTGATCTAAACCTTGAATCATCCAACTTCTTAATTGCATACTTCATATCCTCATACCTCAAGAATTCAACCACACCAGACCCATCCTTGAATGCATCAGCAAAGCAAACATCACCAGCCTCTCTCATGTGATCCTTCAAATCCTGCCAAGATCCAGAAGGTGGCAATCCAGTGACCAGAACACGGAATTGTGAGCGTCTGGCTGGCGGTCCGCGGGATGACCGACCGCGATCACCGCCGCCGCCTCCTCCGCCACCACCACCGCCTCCGCGACCACCGCGGAATCCACCTGGGCCACCACCTCTTGGGAATTCTACTCTAAGGCGATATCCATCATAGTCGTATCCATCTCTGGCATGAACTGCATCGTCCGCATCACTGTATAAAACAAACGATCGATGTGTTAGAGACCTTGAAAGGTTAGAATAAACGCAGGCAAATGTGACTTACCGGGCATCTTCAAACTCCACGAAAGCAAACGGCGGGCCGCGTCGATTCTTCAAATCAACAAACAATACTTTACCGAATTTATAGAACAGATCCTGAATGTCCTTGCTGCGTATGTCTGGCGGCAAGTTGCCCACGTAGATTCTACAATCGCTGCGACTGTGCGACATTATCTCTCGATGTGTAAGTTTGATAAAAGAGCAGCTAACGCACAGAAAAGTCGTCGTAAAATGGCGTCACCGCTTGTTTTTCTTGGCCGAGGTGCTATCGCGCAGGGCTACCAACCTGAAAAACAAAAATGTCCCTAGATTTAATTTTAAAAACGCCAACAAGCATAGGCAACTTAATATACATATTTTGTTTACAGTAAACAAATTATATTATAAACACATTTTCCTAACTAAATTCAAATCACTACAAGACGAATATTAATAATTAACAACAAGCAATAATTAATTTGTCCTTTTATTAATACTTTCTTTTACTTTGGCACTTTTCTAAACGTTCCAATTAGTATTGGAACCTATGTAAGAATTGTGAGTATATCAAGTTTTCAACTATGATTATGTTTTAGGTTTTTTTGTTATCATTCTTCATCATTTTGCTAACGTGCTAAGTTAATTTTAGCTAGTACAAACAAGTTTAAAATCTATGTAGATAAACAAAGTGTAATAACAATATATATAAAAACAATATGACCTCAAACATTAAAATTACATTAAAGCTAAAATCAAATGGCGTAATTGGTAAAATATTCAAGCCACAATATCTCATTAATCTCATCAATCAAGTAAAAATATAAAAAATATTGGATAATATAAGGAAGCACAACAATTTCTACATTCTTTGATAATAAATCCTCAACAAAGATATTCTAATATCGCTATGACTATAAAAAGCATAAATTTGCTTTTGATCCCTAAGTGTCTCGATTATTAAGTCATTTCTCAACGAGTAAAGTTAATTTTCGATTCCTTTCGCTTCTAATTTCGAGTCGCTGCTTTACTTTACTTGATTTGCAGCACTTTGATCAATAAATCCAAAGTGCTGAATATGTGTCTGATCATTCTTATTTGTTCAATATCAACATCACATTATCAGATAAAAGTCTAATGTTAAACACATGTTAACATGTCATGAGTAAACTGTCCCTAATTCGTTTTTGTTTAATGTGTTAAGATTCTACTATCTATGGTGACTTTGTGGTGTGTATCTTAAGTTTGTCTACTTAATTGTAATGGAATATTCGTGATCATCTAACGATTGGGGTTTTTGTTTCAGGTAAAGGAAAACTGTTCGAGGTTACCTGATAAGTCAAAGAGGAGAAGAGAATTCACGAGATCCGCATTAGATTGGGACTGGATCAGTGGCGGACAAAGCCATTTTTGAGAGAGTGGATAAGCTGCGCCGAGGAAAACTAGCACCGCCGCTGCTTTCGGAAAAGATCTTCCGAAAACTAATACAACAAAACAAAATCAATAGTATTTATAGCGATTAAAATAATATGTAAAAAATACTTACAACTTTTTAATCCCTGACTCTGAACTTTTCTTCCACGGTGCATCGTCTGGCTCGTATGGCAATGGACCTTGAACCGGCGCCTCGTCTTCCTCAACAGGACTGCAAATAACAACAACAAAGATAGAGTTAATTACATATTAATAATTACGCGCAACTTGCGTCAATAGACTTGAAGATAAAAAATAAACGAAATAAAACACTCACAATGCTAATGGTAACGGATTGAACATTATGCTAGTACAAGCGTCTTCAAAATACTCAAACAAACCTTTGGCTCTAAGAAAAACAATAAAAAATTAAAAACAAACAACGTAATACACAAAAAAGTGAGCAGACGTCAAAAGCAACGGTTTTGTAAGCGTTATAATTAAAACACTTAAGTGTTGTTTTGATACTCACGCCTCAGGCTCCTGTTTTTTCGGCCTGTACGTCTCCAACTCATCCTCTAGATCGCTGACTCGTGCCTTCAACTCGTTGCGCTCATTGAGAATGTCTTTCAACTCGGCGGTTGTAAATCTCGGACGATTGGGGTCATCCAAATCATAAACTGCTTTGTTGCTTGGAAAGTTGTAATCACACTAAAATATATTAATATTAATAAATAGTAAAACTTATGATATGAATATGTTATTTACTTTGACTAAATCTTCGTTTTCCTTTTGGGCCAATCCGAGCCTGGACCTCAACGCAGAAACATCTCGCTGCTGATCCTGAAGTTGAATCAAATAATCCGCTCTCTCATCACACATATTCCGAACTTGCATTTGTAGAGATTTGTGTTTGCGTCGCAAGTCTCTGCTTGTTGCGGTTAAGCGTTCGACTTGAGACTTTAACTATTAAACAAATAAATTATATTAGTATTTTATGTTTACAAAGGTTTTTTTCTGCTTACCATGTCAACATCACAGCACTTTTCCTGTAACAATTTATCCTTGAGTCTAATGTCATCTCTTTGCTTCTCGAGAGATGCCCTCAGTCTTTGCAGCATTGCTCCATCATGTGGTACATCTGATGGGCTAGTGGGTTCCTTGCTCGAAGGAACAGTCTGTTGCTCCTTAGCTAAACGCCGATTTTCATCTTGTAATTGTGAGACCAAGTTCACAAGTTCTTTGGTCTCCAGTCTCCATTGCTCTTCAATTGCCTCCAAATCCTGTTGATCAATAATTATTAAAACATGATAAATAATATAATAATATTATGTTACCTTTTCAAACTTCTCCCTGTACTCAGCCTTTTCAATCTTATCATTCTCCAACTGAGAAATCTTTGCTCTCATCTCAAACAATGCAGTGTTTTCCCTTTCATTTTTTGTTGCTAGATTTTCGAGGAGTTCTAGAGCGTTAATAACTCGCGGCATCAACGCAGTCACAGAATCCGCGCCGAATTGATCAATGATCTTCTCACACTCTTTTCCAATCTCCGACGCGATGTCGTACACGTCCACAACGGTCACCTCGCCGCCGAAGTCCTCCTCTTCCATTCTCGGGCGTTGTATGGTTTTAATTCGAGGCATTCAACAATTCGTTTCGCTTTACAGCGCCCGGAACTTTATTACTTTGCACTGATTGTTTGCTGAGTAGAGATTAGATGATCATGTTGTAGCGACTTGTAGAATGTCGGAGTTGCGGTTTTGTTATTGATCTCAAGGACCTTTAACTTTAAATGCCACCTGCTCGCGCGAGCGCAACTTTGTGACTAATCATACACACAAACACACCTGCAGCGCTTGCAGCTGTTTAGGAGTTGTAGGGATATTTTGAGATAAAAAGTTGGCTAATATTTAAATTATGAGGGATATTTTGCGTATTTTTGTTGGCAGACTTGGAATTTAAACGTAGGAACTTTGATTTTTAGAGTTGGTAACTCGAATTTTTTTGTGTAGGGAAGTTTTTGTTTTCTAAGTTGGCTGCCTGGTTTTTAAATATAGGGACTTTTGTTTTCAAGGTTGGCTGCCAGTTTATTTTTGTTTAGGGAAATTTCTGTTTTCTAAGTTGGCTAACCTGACGTTCAAATCTAGGGACTTTTGTTTTCAAGGTTGGCTGCCATTTTATTTTTAGTGTGGGGAAATTTATGTTTTCAAAGTTGGTTACCTGGTTTTCAAATCTAGGGACTTTCTTTTTGACAGCTATTTACGTTGGCACTGATTTCAAACTTAATTTAAACTTGAATAGTAACAACAAATCTAGAAACCTCATAAATTAATTGCACCATAAAATACATTCAATTGGACATATAAAAATTGTACCTGGACGGGATTACATTTCATTTTAACGTTCCCGTAACTTAAAAATCTAGGGTAATATTTACATTGTCATCCTGATTACCCTATATTTATCAGTAGGGTTTTTCAAATAAAAGTGGCAGCACTTTTGTACATGGCTGATTTTCAAATACGCAACTTCCATCCTATCGTGAAAACAATTTCCTTCAACGCAGTGAAAATGCAAATCGAAATAAACCCTCGCCCAGATCGCATAGATCTCGAAGATTATTTCATTCTACGTTTACCAGAAGAAGACGCTGCTTATCTCCGTCATCTAATCAGGACCAAACCGAAAAAAGTAAAAGGAAGTGTTACCTGAAGTTGGACGAACAATTCAAAACTGGATGGTTGCGCCTCAACAGGAAAATCCTTTCCGGACAAATGGTTCATCTACCAACGATCACGGATGTCTGTAAATCCACAAACGGCATGACCATCTACAAAACAGGCACCATCTCGCAAATGTTCGTCATCGACGGTGATAAAACTTTGTTGAACATCAAACATGATAATTGGCCGCACGGTCTTACAAAACCTTTAAAGAATGTCCGAAAACAACGATTCCGCAAGACAATGCGCAATGACGAGGATATAAAAGAAGCAAACAACATCCAAACAGAAGTTACTTGGCTTCTCCGCACCGATTACGAAGCATTACACTCTCATTACGAGATTATTTATGAAAAAGTCTATGATGAAGATGACAGTATGTTGAAAGATGTAAAGAACTGCATTAATTATTAAATTATTTAATTTTTAGTCACTGAGGAAGCATTGTTTGGTTCCATGAGCGACACAGGAGGATCAGAAGTAAGTCAATGTAGTACTCCCTTGATTAAAAAATTGTATTATTCTTTAATTTTCAGGACTCCTCCGTTTGCGGCTCGCACTACGACATTATGGACTTCAATTAATCATAACAACAACAATCATTTAAAAATATGGTACTTTAAGTTGTTTTCTGTTTCTTTTTCTTCTTTTTCTGGGGACTCTCAGATTGTGAATCTGTAGAACGTTTCTTGATTTTATGAACACCGTTTTGTATTGGTTTAGCAACAACTTCAGGTTTTTCTTCATCTTCATCTTCTGACATTGCTTCATGCCCATTTTCCTCAACAAGTTCATTCTCATTCAGTTCATCTACATCAGTCTGAACAAAATTAAACTTATCGTTTAAACCTTCAGATAAACTCTGCATACGTAAGTTACGTGCTTCTTTCTTCATCTTCTTGGCTTCTTTGTTTCCTTTTTTCTTCTCAACCTTTTCTTTATCTTCATCATCCTCGTCATCTTTATCAGCCTCCCGATTAATCAAACTCAACTTAATAGTTTTGCCTTTAATCTTTACAACGTTGGAAATTTTCAGAGCATTGCACAGTTTACTAAAAGCCGTCTTTCCATCATTAGTCAAAGCAATACCCGAGCGATATTCTCTAGCCAATTCACCAATCTTGGCCCAATCAAACACTTCAGTTTGATGACAACAATTCTTAATCGCAGCCAACAACAGAAACACACCACTAACAAACGGTTCTTTCGACGTGTACTCTTTGCGTTCTAAAAACTCAACTACATTATTATTTAGTTTGTTCTCACTCTTTGACAGTTTCTTAACAAACGTCTCTTTATTAGCAGCAATTAGACGATTGTTCAGATAGAAAATCTTCAACAATTCCAATGCTTGCCTCCTCCTGAACGGTCTAATCTCTTCATCAAAAACATAACTAACCAATGGAGCAATCAACGTAACACTTTTCTCCCAGTTAGAATTCAAAACCATCTTGAACAACACATAAGGTGTCAAACAATCACGTTTTTTAAAGTACGTATCAAGTACTTCCGTCAACAAAGCCGATATTTTCTTTGTGACTCCAACAATAGAAGAACAATTAATAATGAGCATGCAACAATCAGCGATTTTATCACCCATTTCCTGAACAATCAAGGTACTTTTTGAACCTTTATCTAGAATACTTTTCAACAAAGTATGTAGTACATTCTCATCAACTTCGTCAGTTGATGCAAACGTTTTAAGTCCTGAAAGTTTCTTCAGTGAAGATTTTATCCTATCATGAAGCGGCTTTTGATGAGCATCCTTGATGGAAAACTCTAATCCCTGAAGAAGAGGTAGCATAATCTCCAAACAATTAATCATAGAAACCTCCGGAGAATCTAGATAGATATCAATTAAGTCCATAGCACGCACTCTGAAATGCGTGAGAATTTCATCATCTTTTGATTGTTTCTTTGACTTTTTCTTTAAGTTAGGTCTATGGTTCTTGAAAGCTTCTCCTAGGGCTGTGTTTAGTTTCTCTGCTTCTGTATCTGACATATCATCGAGGTCAATACTTTCGTTGTCATCATTATCAGTTTTTAACAAGACATCCTGAATTGCTTGGCGTAGTTTATCATTCGGAGTTTCTTCATAATCGTCGTCTTCTTCCATTGATTCATCTTCATCGTCATCTTCCTCATTAGATTCATCATCATCATCCTCATTTTCCTCGTCTTCATCATCATCATCATCTGAATCTACATTCTCACTTAATGGATTAGCATCACTCTTGGGATCCAAAATGTGCAAAATCTGATGAATTGCACTTGGCGTCAAGTATTTACAGAGATGCGGAAACACTTTGTTGATAACAGACCGCAACAAATGTGAATTGTGCGATAGTAAATTCAAAAATAAGTCAACAACTACCTCAATCCAATTCACTTCTTCATCCTTTGATTTCCTTTTAGCATAACAAGTAAATAATTCATTCAACGAATCCCCAGCCAACTTAGAATCGTTAAATAATTGCAGAGACATTTGTAGGAATAACATATGAAACACCATTGTTAAATGTCCTTGTTTTTTCGCAGATTTACCTTCGATTTTGTTGATTAGTTCAAAACTTTTCTCCCAAAGTGCTTGAACCTCCTCATCCAACGGTGCCCGTAGGTTATTCATATTTTCATTTAAACTATGAACTAATTTCGACAAACAAGAAATTCCATCTTGTAGTTTACCAAATTTAAAATCCAACGCAGAGAAGAATGTATCCTTTAAACTCTTGTTTAAGTCAACTCCTATTCCTGGTCTTCTCAGAAGTGCAACTTCCATTAAAAGTTGAAGCTGTTCAACTTTCCAGTCGTGTTCAGTTCTAGCAGCTGAATGATTAATCAATTTAACAATTAGTTGTGCAGCGTAAACACGATCGAGATTCAACCAATTCTCAGTGGTTCTCTCATCCCTCTGTTTTGTCAGCTCAGCTAACATAACACCTTTGTAAATATCACACAGAGTTTTAACTCCGTCAACATCTAAAGTTGCAGTGATACTTTGCAGAACTTTATTACCGGTGATTTTCTCGAAAATAAAAATCCCAGGGTAAAACATGAGCTTTTCCATGACTTTAACTTTTATATCTGAAGAAACTTCAGGTTTCTTCGCCCAAGCCGCAGTAGCATTTAATAAATTAATGACCTCCACTTTAATTTCATCTTGTTGTTTAATCGTTGTTGCTTTGAAATGCCTCACAGTTTCAAACAGGAAGTTTTTACCAAAAACTGAAGGCATATGTCTGTGTTCTTCTAAGTTGATGACAATGTTTCGAAGCAAAACGGCGAGTACTTGATGTTTTACGTTCGTGAAGTTTTCGAAATTCACGTCAAGTTGGTTTAAGATTTTTGGTAGGTATGTTACGCTTGCAAGTTTTTTGCCGATATAAGGGTAGATTGGATGTTCAGCAATTTGCCTCAAAGGATTCACATCAAGAAGGACATTGATAAGGTGTTTCACGTTACCTTCGGAGATTATTTTCGGTGTGTTGATTAAGTTTCCAAGGAACTTCGAGTTGACGACGGTGGGAAATTGTTCTTCGCATTTGAGAAGCAAGTAAAGTTGGTCGATTGTGTAGTCAGACAGCGGTTTCTTCAACTGCGGCCGAAGGACAGGCAAAATATCCTCCGAAAATACATTTATAGTCAACTAAAACAGCAAAGAAAGTTATTTTAATGCCAATCAATCCATAATTTAAGTATTTAATAGGTAACAATTTAAATACTTACTTTTGGTAATGCATCAACTATTAAGGAGGCGGCCAAGAGCCCAAGATAGGTCTTCTTGACACTAGCATCCACCAAATGTTGAAGTAAAGTCTTCCTTTTTTCATTTTCAAGAGTGGCAAATTTACCAGCATGTAAAACAGCTCCGCAAACAAGAATCAGCCCAGTGTAAACATCAGCATTTTCCTACAAAGTAATCCAAATTCATTACTACATATTTTTTAAACGGTAATTACAAATTATAATCTTACACTTTTCAAGTTTTGTCCACTTGTTTTCAGCTCCTTGTGTATAACATCAAGAATGTTATTGATGTCAAATTTATTTGAAGTTCTCAGGAAAACATTGAGTGTTGTGTAGAAACCAATGCGTGAATTGACTTTACCAGAACCCACGCCGCGAACTAAACGTCCAATTGCATATTGTAACTCTTCGTCCTGAAAATAAACGAGCGCTTTTCTTGAAATCTGTTGGTTAAGGTTATGTCGAAAATGGCACGTGCGACTCTTACGTTTTCACTGTTTTTGCTCAAATGGCGAATGATTTGACTGCCACTCTTGAGTCGAATCTTCTGCTCATTGCTGGTGAGCTTTCCAAAGTTATCTAGAAAGGTGTTACGCGGTTTTTTGCCGTTTATTTGCGAATTTTCTGCGACTTCTTCACTCGCTGCCATGGTCACAGCGGTGTGTGCACGCGAAGTGTAATACTTGTTGCCTAACCATGTAAACATTGACACATCGGCGCTGCCAACTGTCAAACAAAAAATGTCCCTAGATTTGAAATGTTGTTATGGCATTTTTATTTATTTATTTAATAAAAATGATAGATAATAACATAATTATGGTCAGTTTTGTCAAATAAACTGACAAATCTTGTATGTTATTGTAAAATTGTCCTTTTAATTAAAAGTTTACAAAGCTATTATTGGCATTACTTTAAAAAACAATACAAACACAAGTATTGTTTGTGTAATTAATAAAGCGCATCGTTGCAATTAATTTGCGGCTCAATTTACTGCATGTTTTGATAAATCGGCGGAGAAAGCATTCCGAAAACAATGATAACACATGTGTAGGTTGGCTGAAGTGACGGTCGTGCGTGTATCGGGCAGGCGCGTTCCTCCAAGGTTATCAAATATGGCCGGCCGTCGTTTCGAAGAGCGCGATAACAGGTAAATGTCGCGCGAAAATTGCGAATTCATCAGTGAAAATGTGCGGCATCAGTGCGGCGGAGGCGGCGGCGAGGGCCAATCGACGGGCGTCATCACAAATACGCACAATTCCATCGGGCGTCCGTATTTTTCACGTGAAACGCCCGGCGAGCACATGCTGGACGTGCCCGAATGCGCAGCGCCGGCCCCCGGCGCGCCGCTTCCGCGCCGCACTTTGTTTACGTCCGCAAAACCACGCACCACCACTAATTGGGAGAATATGTAAAAACTATGTGATTGTTTACTTTTAGGGACTTTGGGGGCGGCGGTCGACGCCCGGGCGGGCGCAAGCCGTTCCCGACCGAGCCGCCATACACCGCCTTCCTCGGCAACCTGCCCTCAGGCCTGGTGCAGGGTGACATAAGCAAAATCTTTCCCACATCAAGCATCAAGAATGTGAGACTGGTGATGGACAAGGAGACAGATAGGTTTAAGGGTTTCTGCTATGTGGAATTTGAGTCACTGGACGACCTCAAGGAGGCGGTGGAGATGGACGGGCTGGTGGAGGTGCAGAAGCATTTGATCAAGATTGATGTGGCCGAGGGGAAGCGGAACGATCGAGGTGGTGGGTTTGATCGGGGTGGGCGCGGTGGCCGTGGCGGCGGGCGAGATGGCGGGAGTTTCACACGGGGGCCAAATCGTTCCGGTGGTGAACCGCATCGTGGTGGCGGTGGCGCAGGTTTTAACGACGACTATGATCGGCGGGACGGTGGTAGAGCAAGGGGTAGTTTTACTGGTAAGACAATCAAATCAATTAAACATTATTATAAACAAAACATAATCATGTAATTAATTTGTCTAGATCGTGATCGTGGTGGCCACAGAGGAAACTATGGTAATTTCGGTGAGGATGGTGGCGGCGGTCGTTGGGGTGGTGGTGGACCAGGTGCCGGTGGACCCGGTGGTCCTGGTGGTGCGCCGCGTGGTTTCGGCAGGGACGGCCGGCGGCCGGAGCGAAAATCTTTCTCAGAAGATTTGCCAAGCACAACGCCCGGTAAGTAATCAAACATCATCCTCATCCCCAAACAATAAACACAAATAATACAATAAATGATGTGTGATTATTGCAGATGTTTCAAATCGAAAACGACTGCAATTGAAACCGCGTACGGTGGCAGAGCCGGTGAACCAGATGGCGGAAACTTCCCAGACGTCGACGATTTTCGGCGGCGCCAAGCCGCGCGACGAGAAGTTGGAATAAGTCGCGGATCTCTCGCCCTCCCCCAAAAACTCTACTAATAATTTTTCTTCGCGAACATGAACTAAACCAGTACCAGTACGCCAGCGCGCTCGATCCGATTTTTCATATATTTCTAATCATTTTCTAATATATTTTGCCCCCGACTTTCAATCTTCGCAAGCAATCTGCACAATCATTTAATATTGTAAAAACTATAACATCAACAACAAAACAACCATTTCTAATGTAGCTTAAGATTAAGCTGATTATGTATGTAAGGGGAAACTCTACTCTTAAGTTCTCTCGATGGATATACATAGATAATTAGTGACTTGATGCGGATTGATGATGAAGAAGAAGAGGAAAAGAACATTTTGCAACTTTGTACTTTCGATTACGAATGGGAGATGTTGGATCGAATTAATCGCGAACGGTTTAGTTTAGTTTCTGTTTGTAACTAATGTAATTAACGCTGCGACGTTTTGCATCGCAACTTTGCAAACTATTTTTCAGAAGCGAGTCGGAGTTTAAATTTCTTTTCGCGAGCGCGGCGCGACTCTGCTCCACGATTATTAAATTATTTCGAATTGGAGCGCGGGTCGCCTGGCTCGCTTTGTATTTGTAAGGATTATTTTATCGCAACTTGTTTTTGTATGATAATGGAACAATTTTTGATGAATTGTAATGACAAATATAGTTTTGACTGATTACTGCTGATTTTCCTGATCGTTTGTTGGCGATTGTTCGCGTATGAAGCACTTTTGTCATTACAATTTCGTCGCGTTTAGTTTTTAATGAAATTTTTGTTTTTCTTTTCTTATTAATAAGAATTTTGAATAAAATTAAAATAAGATTCAAAGATATGATCATGCTACACTTGCATGTACATTTTTTTACATGCAGGAGTGTGTAATATACATAATTATTACATATTATTATTGTTTTACTGCAAATTCCCAAACAAATAACTTGCTAATTAAAAATTAGTGTCAAAAATTTTGTTTGCATTTCTAGGGATATTTTGTGTTGAAAATTTTAGGTTACAAACCTGTCAACGTGATTCCCCTACTAAATTTAAATCAAAAAAGCTTATTTATTTCACTTAAACTGCCGATTTAAACCTTCTTATCACTATTTAATCAAATAAAAGTTTAAATTTATCTTAATTTATTATAAAATTAATAAATGTTTACTAAAAATCACAAAATAAAAATTTTAAAATCTAGGGAATTTATTTTTACAGATTTTATGTTGTAATCTTGGAAATCACCAGACGTGATTCCCCTCCCTTCACTAAAAACTATTAATTATGGCACTAAATTAACAATATATGCTAATTTTATAACTGAAAACACTTTAATTTAATTAAAACTACCTTAATGAGTTATTATACATATAAACAATAGAGTATTAAAGAAAATATTTAATTTTAAAAATTGACATTCAAGATTGCAACCTAAATATACAACACAAAAGTCCCTAGAGTATTGACAAATTTTTTTAAACAAAAATTAATCATCTTATCGTTAATTATTACTAAATAAACGATACAAACACAATTATCTATCGTATTTTAATGCTACCCAGACAGAACATGATCATGCTTCCTTTGTTATTCTTCCGCCAAGTAAAAATCCGATTAAAAAGTGAAATCATTGTATTTATTTTACTTTTATCATAATTATTAGTTTTGCTATTTGGTAAATGAATGATTATGGGAGGCGACTCGTCGGGCGTCGCACACTAGTGACGAGTTTACTGCAAACGCTTGCAAATGCTTCCATCATCTGCTCGTCATATCGCTCGGCTGTCATTTTATTCGAATAAACGTATAAAGAATATATAAATTAATTCCAAAAAAGATTAGTAGTTCTCACGACGCAACACACACAAAACACACACCTAATGCGTAATTCTGTGCTGGAGAGAGATCATACGCATCGAACGGCGTGCAATAGATCGAGTTGGTAGATTACTGTATTGTTGCTGTGTATCGTTGATTGATTGGTATTTCGTTTATTATTTATTTGTTATGCAACGGGAGAGAAAATATTTGGAGGATGGTTCGAAGGAGGCGCGCACTCTTTACTTTTGCATCATTGATGTTGCTTTCGATTTTTGTTGTTGTCAAGTGGTGGCTGGTTTTATTTTTTGTATGTTTTTTTCGTCTGGATGTGGATGGGGAGGTGTTGTGCAGGGCTCAATACTAACATTCCTCTTGCGACTTTCGCACGCATCTCGCCACTTTTCGCTTGAACTCCGAGTACGATTCCCGCCACTCTTTCTGCATGGTTTAAGAAACAAAACATCAAAACTAACTTACAACCCGCCACAAATCGTTAGTGTTAGTTGAGTATTGTATAAGTGTACTTACAGCTGCGTCGACATTCGCAGGCGACTCGTCGTTGGGATCCGCGAGCATCGAGATAACTGATATTAAAATAGTCTCTACCGTGTGCACTGGCAGCCATCTTTCCGACGCCTTCTCGTAGCCGAATTTGTCGTCGCCCGGCTCGTGCAGAATTGATATACACACGTCACCGTTCTTATCAACTACAAAACATCAATTATTACCAAACTACTCAATAAAAAACGCTTAAATCTTAAAAATCATTATGCTTACTATTAGGATGCCAAATTTCTGTTACAAATTTCATTTTGGGTGGCCTAAGTGGATATTCTTTTGGAAAATTGAGATGACATTTGAAGAATCCACCCTCACTAAAACAATAAATCACATTAATTAATAAAATACTTTAATTAAACCAATTTTACTTACTATAGTGTGTCTGGGGGACCAATAATAAGCACCTCCCATCTGTATATATCATTGTCATCTATAAGACCAGCAGAAAAACCCTCAACTGGGTTCTTATTTAATTCTGAAAGCAGAAAACGTGCATTAGTTATAAATAAATACAAGCTTCAAGGCGTTTGCTGCATGCACACTTTGAGGTTAGAAAAGTATTTCCATTCTTATGATGACTTGAGAATAATTGAAGGACTCTCAAATGAATCACTATATTCACCACAAAAGAATATGCTAGAAGCCCTTGAATATAATTAATATTAATTAGATGTTTCCTTAATGATAAAAAACTGAATTAGAATCATGTGCATAAAAAAATGATAAAAAATGCAGACGTTATTGATTTTTCGGCCCGCCGATCGAAATCCAAGGCCCCAAATGAAATCCGCACTCGAAATACCTCGCACGTTTTTCGTGTCTCTCAAAAAACGGGTTTATTCAATTTTCGGACGTTTTTTTATTTCACTGAATAAAATCGCCATTGATGTAAATAGGTTAACCACTCGGGGTAATCCATTCTCGTGGGTAATTTCACTCGCGATTTTAAGATTGCGTCGAATTCGTGGGGCCACGGGATCGTGTAGAGGCACCCGGTGTTTTTTTTTTCGTTTCGAAACGCCGAAGCGGCGTTTGCGAGCACGCATACACGCCGTGCGGTATTTTCTTTCACGTCGCGTCGGGTGAATTTTCACGATTCCGCCTGGCGCTTGGATGATTACCTGCTAGTTGCTTCCTTAGTAAGAGCGCCGACTGTGGTTCTGACATTAATTACAAATAAATTTTGATCCTAATTCCACCAAACAAACGAGCGAGCGTAAAAAGATGGCCGGTCCTTCTTGCAAAATCTACACCACATTGAGCGGCCTGCCTCCTCACATCAAACATATGTTATTTCCGGAACGGTTTGCGCCACCGCTTAGCGCAGTTGGGAACCAAAATATTCGATCAACGCGACATCTAATATAGAATTTGTAAACTAGGAAATAGGGAATTGTTTGGGGAAATTATACGAATATAAAGAATATACACATAAAACTGTAATTTTAAACACTTGTAAATAATATTTAACGTTTTATTTTGTACATAAATTATATAAAATGTTATTATTAAAAAATATTCGGAGTCAAATCACTATAGACAACATTGCTTACACCAAATTTTAAAGAACGCCTACCGATAGGCAACTTTTTATACACCAATTATTGAAAAAATCAGCAAATTTTCCCAACTTTCAACACCAATTTTAAGGCCTTATCCGTAGATCAATAGTAACAAATGATACGTTAATCGATAGAACGTTTAATTAGCTTTATTTTAGTGGTAATATTGAATAAAAAGACTGACTAGTTTAGTAGTTACTAGACATTTTCCAAGAGCTGTTTTGGATAATTTTGAAAATTGCTTACTTTTGTTGTTAATTTTGAATCATTTCCCATAGAGTAATGCAACAAAATAATACATCAAAAGAAAGAATGTTTATTAAGCTTTAATTTTCATAAATAATAAGTTAACATTATGCCATATCTTTGGAGTTATGACAAGTTTAATGCAAGCATTTTTTTACAAAAATTGAAAATGGCTTATTTTTAGTACCCTTTTAATGGCATTATTTATTAATATATTACTATGTTCTATACAGCAATCGATTGGTAGTTTATTAAACTATCAGCTAAATTTTTGCTGGTGTGAATAATACTTGTGTTTTAGGAGATATTGAGTATTTTGTACACCTAGTTTCTAAAAAACTAAAAAAAATGTATTGTTTTAATGCTAATTTAAACTATTATTACTAATAGTAACAAAACAAAATAAACAAGTTTTGAAACGAGTAACTCTTGTAGTACTTGTTTCTGAAAGAATAATTAAATTTATTTATATTTTACGGAAACTACAGCAAATTTAGCATAACGTGTTTTTCAAAAGAGCAAAAACTTGCTTATTTATTTATTGATTCATTACTGTTCTATTTATTATTAATCAAAACTAAGAAATGAATCATAAAGAGGAACTAAAACACTATTAAAAACCAATTAAACTTTTAAAATTGATGAATTATATCAAAAGTTACGCGCTGTTGAAAAAGACTAAGTTGTGTAAAATAAAACAAAAAGTATTCACTTAAAATTTAAACAAAAACTCAATTGTTTTAAGATATTTTGTAATATATTTTATATACAAATTACATATTTACAGGTGAGCATTATTAATAAACAAAATTCTCATCATAATGCATTATAATTCGTTATGTATCAATAATTACACATTTACTTCTCATCTGATACCGTGATACCTGATATCTAACAATAATTATATTATCCAAACAAATAATCTTCTAACAATCAACAGAAACAACAAATTGTTACTTTCGTGGTAGTATTTAATACTTAATACATATTTGATTAAAGTTCTCAAGAGATCATCAAAGATGGAGGGTTAAAAATGATCGAAATCGATAGATATGTAAGACTTACGAAAACAATCACCTAAAACGCGATTGCATCCCTCCTTTTGTTTATTATTACAATTATTATTACAATTTTAGGTATTTTAAAGTTAGAAGTAACCAAAAACGGTAAACAACACACTGATTCCCATCAGTTTGCATTCTTTTCCGTTGTCAACACGCTGTACTTAACCTCAAAACATAACCACAAACATGTTGTCCTAATGTAAGGTTAGGATTGAATAAATAGATCTAAAAAATCGAATGTGAGTAGTTTTTGAAGTTGTTTTAGAGATAAAGTTCGTGTTATTCTTAAATTACATTTAGTTACTTCATAGTTTAATGTTTAGATATAAGTTAGGTTAATAAATTGAGGTAATGTACAATATTTACAGGTACAGGACTGTGTACGGCTTAAACTCCGCCCTCTGCGATAACATTAACCTATCATAATTACTTGACTATTAATTATTCATTACGCAATACTTCTGTGTACTCATTTTTACTTATTGAGCGGGTCCTGATTAAAGTTAGGTTATGATTACTTCCGTTAAAAGTTAGGTTAATGTTTAGAAAGAGTGTACGTTTTACATCTCGCTGTTTTCTTCGTTTTCGGGTTCTTCGGGAAGAGTGTAGACGCCGGTGAGGACTGGTCCTTCGAGGACTTCCGGCATTTTGTTGACGCCCATGCCTAGGTTGACGGTTATTGGCACCACGGGGATGGGGAGGAGCTCGTGTGGGGGCGGTGGCATCTCCATGGTGGTAGGCGTGCTTAGGACGAGCGTTTCTTCGGTGAGATTCGTTCCTCGGGCGTAGAGAGGAGTTTTCGTCAGCGTGGCATTGCCGAATTGTCATGAGGGGCCGAAGGGGTCATTGGCGGCGATTGTCGGCGTGTGGGTGGAGTTAATATCATCAGGGAAACTTGTCAAAGTGACCACTTTCCGGAGGCGTTTCTCTTCATGACGTAACCTATAAATTTTGATAGTTAAATTAGGTTATGTGGCATTTTTTGTTAGAACTTTGATTGTGGCAAAAGTATTTGACGTAGAGAGTTGAAATTAGTCTCATTTTAAAGATAATTAAACAGAGTATAATAATAATATTATTATAATAGTTAGGCAACCAACAGTTCTTTGTATTTTGACAAAATTTAAGCAAATTTAGAAAAATATTGCAAAAAGTCAATTTTCTACTAAAATAAACATCAGAGATCAATAAACATGGTCTCAATTTAAAGATAATTAAACAAAGTTAATAATTAAACATGTTTGGTTAGTACAACCCTTAAAATATAAAGGGTAGAATTAAATAAACATTTTCAAAAAATAAAAATTTCTCATTACCTGTGAACAATTTCATCGTGAACGACATTAAAACACATCGCAGTCAACGCCATCCCAGACATGATGTACAGTGAGCAAAACCAAATAGTAGTACTATTCTCATGCTGGCCAAGCTGTTCACCTCCAGGCAACATATTCCCGAATCCAATCGTCGTCAAACTCATGAAGCAAAAGTAAAACCCGTCCAGCAGCGCCCAGTTCTCCAGCTTGAATAACACGAACGTCCCAATGCAGATGTAGATAAACATGATCGCAAGACAAAGCGTGATCGGCGCCAAAATCGCGAGGCCATGAATGGACGCCTTGGATTCGTTGTCTGTGCCACTAATCGAATCGATATCTTTCAGCGGACTGTGCAGATTGTTCGCAGTGGAAGTGGTGCTGAAGCCGCTGTTGGAGCGCACATAGAATGGTTCCTGAAGGGCGAGTTGTTGTTGCATTTCCATTTGCTGACGTTTTTTCTTCATGCGGCGTTCTTTTCGGCCATGCGTTTCTCGTCGTAGCAGCAGTAGCCGCAGTTTGAGCAGAGGCAGCAGCAAAGGGCGCGAGAAAACACCCCGCGAGCGATGCGGGAGAGGATGGACCCGACTGAGGAGAGGTAGAGGAGGGTTAAAGGGATGCCGAAGATTGCGTAGCCCATTGTTACTGCTTTGCCGAGGGTTGTTTTTGGAGCGATGCTGCCATAACCTGGAATAGTAGAGAAAAAAAATTGTTAAAATTCAGTTTACGGTTGAACTATTAATGTTAGGATATTGAAATTTGTTTTATTCGGAAGATAATTTAATAGAGTATAATATAGGTTACGTTGTGTAGTATAGGCTACCAATTATACCTCATATTTTGTAAATACAATTTTTTTCTTGAAAAAATAAAAATAAAAATTTTAACTTTTTAAAATTTAATTTTCTCCTAAATTAATTATCGTAGAATGTTAAAATTAATTTTAAATTAAAGTTAATTAAGCATACTTTTATATGTTAAATGATTAATTTAATTACAACTTTTGCAAAGTCCATTACAGAGGCGTAAACTTCAACATTATTTTGCAAAACAAAAATTTTTCGTTTTCAAAAAACATAAAACCTTAAAAACTTAATTATTGCTAAACGGCAAGTAGCAATAACATAAAACACACGTCAATTAGCAGCCAATAAGGTAAACTTCCAGATGAAAACTTTTCCGCTAACTTCGAAACGTTTTATTGGCGCTTATGAGTGTTCAAAGTTGATCAATAAATTCTGCGTTCTTTTTACTTTTAACGTCTTTTCTGCGTTATGTTATGATTCGCATTTTGCGCCGTTCTTTTTTTCTTTGTTCTTTTGGGACCGTTGAGTTTTTTCATGTGTCTGGGTTTTTAAAACAACGTTGTTTTGTTTCCAGACGCGTTTAACATATTTAATATTTAAAGGCGCACCTAAACTTCGGGGCAACATTTTCGGGCATTTCGGGCGATTTTCCAGCGGCGAGCTTTGTGTAAATCACCTGCGCTTCCACATCTCAACATTTCGCATTGCGTGTTCCTTTTGTTCTTAACGTCGGCTTCAATTCACTGCGAAAGTTTTCATTTTTCTTTGGGATTTTCAACTTTTCCTCCACACTTGTATTTGTGTTTGTGTTTGTGCTTTTGTTAGCCATGTTCAAATATTTTCATCATTTTTGAATAATATTACAAGCAAAAACATTATTTTTCCTCAATTACGGAAAAGCAAGAAGGTGGAGAAAATATTACGTGGAAAAAATCATAAAATTAACCGCACACTTTAAAATTTTACGTGAAAAAAGTTGTTATCATCAAAAACATACATATCTATCGTTAAATTTGATTTTAAGGGTTGGAAACTATCTCTATTGCCAACAATGACTGTTTAATAGTCGTGTTAATACCGCCATTAAATCCTGTTCAGTTCAAAATCGCTCGTGCTTCGAAAACCGAATCGCTTGTTCGCAAACCGGAAATGCGTTTTGTACATTGCAATTTTAACAATTATTTACCATTTACCAAATAATTTTTACTACATTTAAAGTTTTCCATTAATAATTTGTCAAAATAAATAATTCTATCGACGCCATATTTCTCCTCACAAAATAAACACTTCAAAAAGTTAAAATTTGCGTTATTTGCTCACAAATAAAATGTAGTATCATTAAAATACACTCAAGAGCAGTAAAACGACACAAAATTGCATAATAACCTATTAAAAAACAACTAAAATGTATACTTTGCTGATAGGCAACTGGATACACTTCACAATTGCGAATAAAGTTGCCTACATTAAACTAAAAACCTCTTCATTACAATTTGATACTTTTTACAGTTTGCAATATAAATTAATCTTCTTTATGTGTATAATATTACCTCTCACTTTACGCATTCGCATTTCAACAATATTATACAATGCTTTGTTAGCTAGGCCAGGGTTGGTGTGTGTGGATTGCGTAATGTAAAATGAAACAGCATTAATTAGCGCATTTTGGCGCAATTAATGCAGCGGGTACGTTGGAACGATGAAGATAAACGTTTTATAGATATTGTCGTAGCGCTGCGTTTGTGCGCTGCAATCGTAATAATTTGCGCACGCGGAATGTGCATGTGCGCTATCGTTGCACGTGTCAGGTATTCATTTGAATATTATCGCAATGCGGACGCGAATCAGGGAGGATCGCGGCGAATTGTGCTTTTCAGGTGATGCGGGTTAATGGCAGATAATTAATATTCAGCTTTATGATAAAAATAAAACTGAAAGCAGTGAATTGTCTATTTTACTCACATTGTAATGATTTTTATTTGTTTTAGGTTAAATATAAGGATAATTGGGTGTTTTTATTGTTAAATGACTAAAAAAAGATCTTAACGCCCCCTCGGTTAAAATTATACAACTATAAACATAATCAATTCATGTTTTTTTCTTTTCAACCCATATTTAACCCTTTTTAAACTAAAATTTTTAGAACAAAAAGTATTCTATGTTATTTCTCGGTACTTAATTAATATCTATACAAAATTTTATCAAAATCAGTTGAGTGGTTTAGACGTGAAACGGAAACATACAAATTATTTTTGTATTTACTCTGTATAATGCTATATAATATCCCCTTTGCACTAAATTCTGTCATAAAACTTCCATCACCATCAAATATGAATAATGATTAAATAATAAATATTAATAGCACCTATATTAAAACACTTGATTAATGATTAATCAGATTTAAAGTAGTTGGCTTAATCAAACATTCATAAACATTTCGAATGGCAATCCCAGCGCTTTAGTCTTCCAGTTGAACGTTGATAGCAGTGCTTCCGGAAGCAGTTGATATCGTTTGATAGCGATTGCAGTGCACGCTGCAGTTAATAAATTATGACCGACGTCGTTTAATTATCGCGTATTTTCCATCTTTCCTAGGCTAATACCACTCGCACCACTACTATCACAAAAGGGTTATTAATCTCTGGAAGCGAGGAGCAGCGAAAGCTCAAACTCGAGCAGCATCTGCTCGGTAAATCCCGGGATGAATCCCAATCGCGAATGCAATCGCAATCATCAGATAAATATCTCAAATTCAAAAACAGCCGAACACATATGCTTATGTTTACATTTACGGAAGCAGGCGGCCGGGGTTGTTTAGATAGACATTTTGTGCTTTTGCGGGTGTGTGCGAGGTGTTAGACAATGTGTGCGAAGTAGGATGTTTGTGGTCATCACTCATTTCACAGCTTTTACTCTGACACCTATCATACACGTATATTTCGCACAGAGTGTTGTAATATCCAATGAGTAGAAAATAACATTGGCCGTCCTATGTTCGATTACGCATCTCCAACATTGTCCCATGTTAAACTCTAGCAAATTATGAGAATAAAACGACTAAAAAAGAATATTTTAACACCCTGTATAAATATATGAGTAGATGAGCCTGTGTTGTGTACGCCAAGTTAGAAAATACACGAATATTTTATACAGAGCGTTGTAAAATTCAATAAATATAAAATAACATTGTCCATCCTATGTTCGATTCCCTATCTCCAACATTGTCACATGTTAAATCAAAAGAAAACAGTAAAATAAACCCACTAAACATGAATATTTCAACTTCCTGTATAAATATGTGAGTAGATGAGCCTGTGTTGTGTATGCCAAGTTAGAAAATACACGAATATTTTATACAGAGTGTTGTAAAATTCAATAAATATAAAATAACATTGTTCATCCTATGTTCGATTCCACTGCTCCAACATTGTCCCAGGTTAAATTCCAGCTAATTATTAAAATAAAACGACTAAAAATGTATAATTAAACACGCTGTATTAATATGTGAGTAGATGAGCCTGTGTTGTGCCCCTCAAGTTAGAAAACACACGAATATTTTATACAGGGAGTTGTAAAACTCAATAAATATAAAATAACATTGTCCATCCTATGTTCGATTCCCTATCTCCAACATTGGCACATCGCTAAACATAGAAAATCAGTGAAATAAACCAACAAATCATGAATATTTCAACACCCGGTATAAATATGTGAGTAGATGAGCATGTGTTGTGTATGTCAAGTTGGAAAATGGAAATCGAGGAGGCGGTGCATGCCCCGTACGCAAAGCGATATATATTAATCAAGAACATCTCTGGCAGGACTCTCGCAGGACGTACAGGACATAAACTTCCTCTCACATATGCAAACACATAGATGAACCTACACATAGACAAAATATGTTGTATGGGCATGATCAATTTGAGTTAGAATTGATCTAACATACATTCACACACAAACACCAACACGAATCGTGTGGGTGTTGACATTGTCCACGGCATACTCAGGTATTGGGTTTAGTGTTTGGATAGATGATCCATTTTAGATCTACCGGATTGCTGAGAGTGGAAATAAATTCATTGTGGGGATAATGCCCGGCGCCTCCACATAATACTAAACCATTATATTTTCTTCAATTTTTTTTCTTTGAAAATTTTGGTGTAAAATATATTAAATTTTTATATTTTTTGATTTTGTGTTGTTTAATATATGGTGTTTTAATTAACTGAGTTATTTTACCGCAAAAATGTTTTTTTCGCCAACTTTTTTGATTCTTTTGAAGTTTCGCCAACAAATTTGACACACAACTCATTAAAACTCTCGGCTTGTTTACATATATTGCACACAACGCGCATAAACATGAAAATGAGTGCGAGTAAATCTCAAAAACGAAAATGAGTGTGTCGGCGACGACTCATCACACGCGCGCCGCATTCCGCAAAGCCGCAAAGCTCGACGGGCCGCGCGAAGAAAACCAAATTAACTTTTGTCGCATGCGCACGTTTCGCATGTGCGCGCACTCCGGGGGCGATCCTCATCCGGCTATTTGTTTTTACGTGTTTGCAGCTGAGCTTTGCGCCCCGGCTGAAACCGAAACTCAAAGAGACGCGAAAGCTCAAACTGCTCAAACTCGAGCGTTGTTATAAACTTTTAGGTTATTATCGTCATACACAACCATGTTCTCATAGTCATTTTTATCCTGATGGAGGGTATGATTTTGGATGACAGGAAAATGGCAAAATGTATTGGGGGCATAAATACAGGGTGTTTTGGGAATCATTTTTGTTTTAGTTTAGTTATTTGTTTATAACTCCTAAACAATTTGTTCAATTTTGATGATTCTTTCAAAAATTGATTTAGAATTAAATTATTTATTACATTATTTTTAAATTTTATATTTACCATTGTTATTTAAAAAGTTATAAACAAATAAACACAAATTTATGAAAAAAATTTAACAAATTGACTAAATTTAAACATTTGTCACATTATTAATCAACAATATAATATCAAGTTTAATGCGCAATTTATCCTAAAATAAGCTCCTAAAAAAATAAATAAAATATCTTATAAACTTTAAAAGTTATCAACAAAAAACTAAATTTTCCAAAAAAACTATTTTTCTACTCCCTGTATAAGATATATACATAAGTAGTACTGCATAGTATACCGGTATTCATGTTTGTTAATTCACTCAATTTTGAAGCGAGCATTGTGCATACAAAAATGTCCCACTGCCGCCGTCGCAACCGCCTCCACTACCGCCACCGCTACCGCTCTCCACTCGTCGCGGAAATTTATGCAAATTTTCTCATCATTTCGACGCCGAGTATAAACCGAGACGAGAAAAACAACGCAGACGACTTGTTGTCGCCATGTCACTTGTTTTGGTTTTGTTTTAAGCACACTCGAGGAAAGTTGCGACACTGGCTGGTACTTAGCGCGATGTTCGCATTTTCTTCGCGCGACGTGCTTCAACTTACAAAGCACATTAACTCCTACACACGCACATGTTTATACGTAGTTGACTTTGAGCGCAAGTCGTAATGCTTTTAACATATGTGGGCAAGTATTATGTGGAGGCGCCGGGCAATCAACATAAAAACGGTTAATACCCCATTACAAATCATTATATATTCTTTATATTGTGAGTATTAAGTGGAGGCGCCGGGAAAACATTGGAAATATTTGTGTATTATATTGTTAAATGCTTTTATTTGATTGAATAAAATAAAATGATTGATACTTTTTGTTCTTTTCGTATTTTTTGCGTGTTGTTTGATGTTTGCGGCTGAAAGGTTGAAAGCAAACCGCAATTTTTTCCGCATCGATTATTTATTGCCAAACCTGTGTTCAATTTGGTGATTGCTTTCGTTTTTTGCGTGTTGCTTTCATTATTTTTTCATTGACTGCCGCTTTTTCGCGTGGAAGATTGAATTAATTTTTGTTTACTTCATTATAATCCCTTTTTGTTTTGACAAACAACCAATTAACACTTGTAAATTTCATCAGATGTTACAATTACCGAACCAAAAACAACATAAAAAACGTTTATTTATATTTAGAATTCAATAAAGCTTTGAATTAATTCAAAGTTAAAAAAATTTAGTTTCAATGTAAATTAAAGCTTGCATTTTAATTGCGTGCATTTCGAAAACTACCCCCCAGCACGTGCGAATAGCCCTTCATCCTCTTTCGCGCTCTAAACATTTATTGAATTTTTAAAAACAGTTTACATGCAAATACTCAGCTTGAAACTGGAGCGGAACATGACGCCGAAAATAAAAGCGCGAAAACTGTGAAAAATTTAAACGGACGAAACAGGAAATGGAAAATGTGGAACTGTAAACGCAAAGGACATGGCAAAAATGCAACTACCCCTATTTCTCTGGCCCTTCGTTGCGAGTCGGCGCACTGAAAAGTGGAATAAAATAACGCGTGAAACTTTAATAAAGTTAATGCATTTATGCAGATCGACTCCGGTTACAGTTGCAGTACATACAAAAACTATTCGGTTGCGGATAGGGGTGGAAAATGGTGGGAAACATTATGTCGCAGTCGTGGACACTCGGAAAATGCAAATAATGGAAATAAACGGAATGTAAATAATAAATGAAATCAACGCAAAATGAAAGGAATTTGGAATGGAAATTGCAACGCATCACGTGATGCAAGGGGTGTAAATTGCAATTTTAAGGGAAAGTATAAATTTTCACGTGGTATTAATTTTTTCTTGTATATTGCCCAAAATGTAGTAAATATAATAACAAGAATTGAAGTAAAGTCAAATTTATAAAAATTTAAACAAATATCAATTTTAACATGCAATAAAATAATTAATAATTACTATATTATGTTCTATTTCATTTATATTTGTAAATAATTTATATTTTTACCTATTTACTGAATTTAAATGTTTTTTGATAATTAGTTTTTGAATAATTAACAAAAAAGTAAATTATGTCAGTTTCAAGTATTGAGAATAAATTGTTAATTTAAAAGCTCAATAAATCAATAAATAATTAAGTAAACTAAACAATATTTTACTATTTATTTTGTAATACATTAATTTAAATATATTCCAAATATTAATATTGTATCAGTATTATTTTGTTAATTATCCAGCAATAAATATTACATTTCTCTTTTTCTGTTCTTTAATTTAATAGAGTGAGTTTGATTTTGAATATTTTAAAAACTAATTACTGTACTTCAATGAAATTTAGCTTATAGACGCAGAAATAAATATTTTATATAAGTTTTTAATTTCATGTTAATAACATAAAAATTAAAAAAGTTATAAACAAATAAATAAAATTTAGAAAATATTTACTTTTTAATTTTTCAACTTTAATAACTTTTTAACTAATTATGAAAATTCATTCAAATTAAGTCAGTTTATGTATCATTTATTTATTAACATATATATAAAATTTGAGCTATGTATCTTTATTATTTTATAAGCAATTTATCAAAATCCCCATTACACACATGGTATGCAGATGGTGAATAATGGAATTATCCAATTATTCAATTATTCAACCTGCCAGATCATACCCACCTCTAATCCTAACCAAACATCAATCCAATGCGGCCGTCTAGAATTATCGAAATAATCCGCCGCATCTAATATTATAATTTACACGCGAATTTCCAATGCATATCGAATTTGCGTGCGAATGCATCCGATGCCGATTATTAGCCCGAATCGACTGAAGTGGAGCGTGCGCGTGCGCCGCTGGAAGGGTCAATCGAACGCCTAATTAGCAAACTAATTTGATTGCATTTGCGGGCCGGGGATGCACACACACGATATTTGTTATTTGCCCATTTCGCCGCACAATAGACAATGGCGATGGCGTTTGGCGCGCGCGCCGCCGCCAAAAGTTCTAATTGAAACCGACGCCGAAACAAAGTGCGCTGGAATTATTCCAATTATTGGCCGGCAACACGCCGCGCCGACGATAAACCGAAAAACACGAGCTATTAATTGTAGTTGCAAGCATAAGCTGCTAGCCTGGGTGTTGGTTCTGATTCCAGTGTGCGGTCGTATTAATAACACGTTGTTTTTGTAATTATCACCAAACATTCAATTTTCGGGCTTAATTTCATCGAAACTAATCGGTTAATTTCGATCAAAATTTCAGCACATGAGCAGTAATTTCATATCTATCTATATTATAAATTACAAAATGATCATACATATATTAAAAAGTTATTGACTAATTTATAAAAAAAATCAAAAAATTATAAAAGTTACTTATTATTGAATTTCTCAGTAAATAATTTAAGTAGATAATTGAAACTTTTACAATCTATTAAATAACAATTAGTAAATATGTTTTAAAGATATTGTTAATATAACTTTAATATCTATTGAGTTATTAGCAATTAAATTAACAAAAACAGAAAAATTTAAAATAAATTTTCTTTTTCTTTGTTCACTTTTTAGGGTCAAATAACCCGCTTATTATTTTGTCAATTTTGCTATAAATTTAATATTATTTGTAAAATTTAATAATCAATTATATATTAAAATTTCAAACCTAATTCTTTTACTAGTTTCCGAGTAAATGACAAAATTAATTGGCTGTTCAGTCATGCGATTTTGTAATACATTAATTGAAACAAATATTCAAGTTTAAATTAAAATATCAGACAAACTAATTACAAGATTTTGCTGAAAATTATAATTAGAACGTATTGATAAATTGTTTATAGTCGTACTAAATTTTGTTAATTTTCCGTTTATAATTTTATAGTTATAAACAAAAATGTAACAAATTTTAGAAAAAAATATTTCAAAATTAATTTGTAACTTTCTTGCATGATATCTTTGAAAATTCTTAATTCATTTTAACAAAATTTTAGAATGTAACAAAAAATAATATTATTTATGTATAATATAAATTTAAGCTCTGTACCGTTATTAGTTCCGGAGTAATTGACAAAAAACTAAATTATGTCTTTTATGTCCTAGTTTACTTACCGATTGTTGTGAGTACAGTCAAAGAATACAAGAAGCTTTTGGCAAACGTCCACTCAAAGTTCTCCGTAGTAACCACCCCTTTCCTAGCAGGATCATCCTCCACCCCACCGGCTGCAGCAGCCGCAGCTGCAACCGTGCTCGTTCCAAAGTCAATCTTCCCAGCTTCCTCCGTAATCGACCTCAGGATTTCATCCTGAAACCTAGTGATCTCCTGCGCTGCCAGCCGCGTCCAGTTATCCCTATACAGGATGTTCAAGCTCACCGTAATATCCCAAATATTCTCCACAGTCTTCGCCCTGACAGCATCTGTCTTCGTCTTTAAATCAGTCACATTCAACGCTCTTTTATTCGTCGTCGCCAATGAAGTCGTCGCTAATATTTGACTATCTTGTGGAGCACCGCCCTCTATCGCCAGAAATATAAAACTACCTATGAGGGTGTATCCGAACAACAAGAAGCATATTCCCAGGTTGGTGATGAGACACGTGAAGAAGTTGCGTGACTTTTTGCCGAAACATCCGCAGCATGTGGATTTTTTACTCGCCGGCGACGCTTTGGAGTTTGACGGATAGGGGTCGTAGCAGTAGCGCCCCGCCTCCTTCTCCATGATGAGTGCGTGGGTGGGGGTGTGTGTTGTGCGGGGGAGGTGTCTCTAAACAAATGGCGCGTTAATTAACGCGACGCTGGGCGAGTTGACGAGGCGCATAATTAATAATCGCTGGCGGCTGGGCGCGCGGTGGAGAGTGACCTGGAACATACGAAAAAGAGCGCTAATTAGTTTGGGCGTAGATGGGTCGCGTAATGTCAATAATTGCTTTTCATTTCCAAGAGTTTGCACATGCGGAGAGCGGCTGGTTGTGGGGTTGTTTGAGTATGTGAGCTGATTTGGGAATAAATGTGCTTGAAAAGTCGAGGATTTTCAATGCGCGGTTGGACGCTGTGTGTTTATTTGGCGATAATTTCGGGATCAGCTGGGATAATTGGTTCAAACTTTCAGGGATTATGAATTATTATATTATTCATCATATTCGAATCTGTCATATTGATATCGTCGTTATTTTAGTAATTGGGGGCTTAAAATAGTAAAAACAGAAATTTTATTGAATGTCAACTTTAACATCCTGTAACTTATTAATTAATTAATATTTTGATATCAATGTTTTAAATTTTAATGTAATATTTATTTGTTTATAAGTATGCCAAAAATTAATACTGGACTTTGATTAGTTTTGACGAAACTAAATAAAATGTAAATTAACAGGTATTACTAACATTGCGTATATCCATATTTTGTAAATTTGACGATAACATGAGTATCGTTTGAGATAATTAGTTCAAACTTGCAGAGATTATGAATTAATATTTTATTCATCACATTTGAATTTGTCAGATTGATATCTTTGTCATTTTGGTAATGAGGAGCTTAAAATAGTAAAACTGCAAATTTATTGAAAATCAATTTCAACTCCCTGTAACTTTTTAATTAATAATAATTATTATGTAAATCTTCCAAATTTAAATGTAAAATTTAATTGTTTACCTGTATTCAAAAGATTAATAGTGATAAGTTATTAGTTTTTAAATAATTAATTAAAAACCATTTATAATTTAAGTAAATATGATGGCAAAAATTACTTTTGCAGTTTTTTGTTTATATCTATTAAAATATAGTTTATAATTTAATTATTTTAAAGACACGTTTAACTATTAATATTATACGTGCCTACACCAAAAATTGAGTTATTTTACCAATAAACAAAAAAGTTACAAGGAGTTAAAAATATTTTTAACTTTTACTTGATAATTTTCACATTTTTCAACGTTCAAATTTGTTGCTTGCTTTTAAACTAAATATGAATTTAACATATATGAATAAACATGTTAAAAAATATTGCAACATAATATTCAATACATAAACAAACCAATAAACAATCACACCTTTAGCCATTAACCAATTGACAAACTCCTACATAAATTTTTTATCATCTTTACTGTCTGCTTGTTCCTGTTGTTACACTAAATTATATCTCCATTTTTATTTGCAATTGTGTTTAAATTTTTTGTCGTGTCGTCCTCCGTATGAAATTGTGATTGTGATTGCGATTGCAAGAACCTTGAGTCGCGTCAAATTGAGCGGAACGACAGCGCGAACGAGTATTGAAATAAAAAAGAAAGAGTGCGGCAAAAAAGCAAACAAAACATGGAAAATTGAAAGCAGTTTAAATTCCACAGTCATGATAATTATTGTTCGCTGCTTGATAACGCGTTCAGGTGGAATGAGCAACGCAAACAAACCTGTCGATTCATCTACAACTATAACAATGCGAACTTTGATGTAGTGAGGAAAATCGAGGTATAATCATGTTAACTGTCAACGTGACTGTGTCATTAAACTATTATTTTTACAATTGATGGTTGCAGACCGATATTATAAAGAAATTAAAGTTTATTTAATGATGTAATCAGTTTTTATGCTTTTGTTTTTGATTTTTTAAATTTAAAATGATATTTTACAATAAATTGCTCATAATTTTGAATTTTAATAAAAAACTCTTTATATTTTGTTAATAAAAGATAAATAATTTAATTAACTATAGATATGCCAAATTTGCAGACTGTACAATAAATAGTTTTTAAAATATTGATAAAAATGTAAAAATAAAACTCAGAATTTCAAAACATTTAAATAAGAAATAACTTTATTTTTAATTATTGATAACTTTTTTGTTTATAAAACAATTTACAAATTTTTGAAACATAGCATAAATAATTTAAGTGTTAATCTACATGCAAAAAATATGTTCCGTACAAATGATTGTTTAGAAGTTATTTAGGAAAAACTAACAATGTGCAATTTGTGATTTCTTGGAAGCAAACGCAAATAACTTTGCTATTAACTTAATAATTTTATAACAAAATTTATCAAAATTTATACCAGTTATAGATAATATAGAGATCTATCAAATTTATAAGTTTCACGTATTTGCAATATTAATTTCAAAAGTTATAAATAAAAATAAATTTTTATTTTTTCTATTTTCAATTAAAAATAAAAGTTTATAAAAAGAGTTTATACTTTAGATTGTATTCATAAAATCATAAATTTTTTAATGTATAAAGATAAATAATTTAATTGACTACGCGTATGTAAAATTTTTATATAATGCAATAAATAGTTTTATAATTATTGGCAAAAACGTGCAGATAAAACTTAAAAATTTAATAAATAATAACTTTATTTTTAATTATTCATAACTTTTTTGTATATATAATAAAATATAAAAGTTTTCATGCATTTGAAAAACAATTTAATTATTAGTGTTTCTGCAAAATTTGAATTGCCAACAAATGTTCATACGGAAGTTATATAGGAAAAACTAACAATACGTCATTAGTGGTTTTCATTAAAACAATAGTAAGTAATTTCCCAATTTATTTTATATTGCACACAATAATTATAACAAAATTAATTACAGCATGTAGTTAATACATTTATCTATCATATTCCTAAATTTTAAACTAATACAGCAATTATTTTAAAAGTTATAAACAAAAAACTAAAAAATAATTTCTTCATATACATTTTTTAACTCTAACTTTTACACCCTGTAACTTTTAAACTGATAATCTTAACAACATAATTTTTTGCACACGTCTAAAACATTTAATTGTTAACTCGTGCTGTAAATTTCATGCATGTCCGATTTCTAATTCGCAAGTGACGAAGCAAAAATGAAAATTAATCTTAAAATTATATTTAATGTCAGTACTCGTACAATAATTCAACGATCTTGGTTTCATCACGCCGATCCACCTGATTTAACCTGATTTGTCCGTCCGAGCGATTACAAAAGTCCGGCGCGTTGCAATTAGAATAAACACATATTTTCGTCATCGTGCGGCGGCCGGCAGCGTGATTATGTTATAATCACTGCTCGGACGTAACGCACACGCACACGACGCACAAAACCAACAGCATTGTAACACTTTTGATCGCGCTATCAGCGCCGACACTTAATCACATTAAGCAATTTCATCGCGCTCAATCGCGATGTGGAACGTTTTTCTAAGAAACAAAGATTTTCATTGGTAATATTAATTTAAAGTTATGTAATTAATTAATTAACAAATTTTGACATAGTTGATGATGGTATATTGAAGTTAAAGTGTGTAAAAGTGTGTTTTAGGTAAAAGTAGAGCAAAAGTTAGGTTAGGTTTGAGTTAAAAATAGTTAGTATTAGCAACGGTCATAAAAATTGCATTTTTTCACTTTTTCGTAAAATTTTTATAGTATTTTTGAAATTTTTATGTTTTTATCAAAAATTAACGTTTGTTTTGCTCAAAATGGCAAAAAGTTGCATTTTTACCACAATTTGAAATTTAAGTAATTAACTGTGAGTCATAAACAAGTAATAAAATTTATGAGTATATAAAAACTACATACTGAGACAAATATGTCATTTGAAACTTCGTGTAATGCGAAAAATGTCACTTTTAGACACTAATGTAAAAAGTAATTATGATTCTTGTGTCATTGACACACATATTTTATAATCCACAAATCCAATTTAACTACTACTTTCCCTAAAAGTAATTTTTTGTACATTTATAACAAAATATGAATTATTTTATGCACTAGTGCGCAAAACTATCAATTTTTCACTTAATTAATTAATAATTAGCCAAATACCTTCAATTTTTATATAATCATAATTAATATAAATTAATTTTAACTTTAAAACTGCTGTTTTTAACACTAGTTTGTAAACTAATTACTTTTGACACTGTAATCTTATATTTCACGTACAACATTGTAGAAATAAGATTTAATATGCATATTTAACGTCGTAAGGTGTTTGGGATTTGATTATTTATTGACATTAATTATTATCGCTCGAGACACAGCGGCACTCAGTCAAGGCGCTTAATTAGTTTTCAGTCGATGTTGGTATGTGTGTAAATGTGTGTGAGTTTGAACGAGAATGCACCTCGAAAAAGGAGTAATAACCAGTTTTCATTGCCTCGACTCCAAAGTGCGTGTGTACGAATCTGCGCTGTGGCAACGCAATTTTATCGATTTTATCATAGCGTTGAATAAGATTAGTACACTCATAACAACATAACAGCGAGCACAAAAAAACTACTGATTGATTGACATTTGATCTCAATTCCTAAGAATTTCAGATCCTGGAGTGTTGAACTTTTTAATTTTTGAATTTATAGGTGTAGTTGGAAAGAAAATTTAAATAATTGGTTATTAGTTTGGTAAAAACAAAATTTGTTTATGTGGAATTGTTTCGTTGTTATTTAAGTTTTAAAATGGTCAAAAACTAGATTTTTCTGCATTGAAAACATAAAAATTGAATTGTTTAGATCCGAATAAAATAAAAAATATTAAAGATACACAAATTTTGTTCCGTGCAATTGATGAGGAATATATTAAAGAATAATATTGTAAGTTTTCAAAGGAATATCTTAATTAGTATAGCCGTAATCAGTAAAAAATTAACACATTCACTTTTAGAGTTTTATGTTTCTAAATATTTTCATGTTCAACATTTTGCAATAGTCTAGTTTTTTATTACCGTTCAAATAACGGTATTTCCAGACAAAATAAACATCGTAAACAAAATTGTTTTTAAAAATAATTTGAATACCTACAATTTAATTAATATTTTTTGCATCTCAAATTTTTTTATATAAAATTTTGTTTTTAGAAAGTTTTACCAAACAAAAAACCCACCGGAAATAATTTCTCATCCGGTTCAAACCGCCAAATTAATTAGTAATATGTTCAGTTAGTTAATTACGACAATACTTTCAAAGACACATTATTAAAACAATCAAAAACTTAATTTTTCTGTTTTTTACTAAATTTTTCACAATTTTGCAAAATTAAATGTAAAATGTCAAATTTTTTGATAAAAAAAATTTAAATAATTGAACATGTGCACTGATATATTTTCGTAATAATTTCCAAGCCTTTGTTGTAATTGCGAAACATTTAAAATATGTACTTATTTTTATCATGCCATTGTGAAGGCCACAGATTACACGTAAATAGGACATAGATAGAACATTTGATAAACAATTATTAAACAAACAGTGAAAAAATAATAATAACAGTAATATTAATTTATTACAAACAAATACAAAACGTGACAATAATACTCTTATTCCAAGAACTAATTCTTCTGTTACTTAAGTTAAGTCACATGCGCATAATCCGCATTATACTAGTATAAATCTAATTCTTTTTATATAAAAATTATGTAATAATAACTCAACAAGATGACACACATAAAAATATAATATTAATGCCATTATTGTAATGTAGTTCTTTTTTATGTTTAATTATGTAACACTTTATTTTTATTATTTTTATTGCTTCTAATTTTATATAATCCTGTATTTTATTTTATTTTTAAGTTTGGGTTTTTGTTGTGTGAGTAATTTGCTTCTGAGAAACACGAAATTTTGATTTATGATCCTTGGAATTGCGTTAATTAATTTGCATTAACAATATTCAAGGTCAAGTATCCTTTGGCATACGCTAAATCCACTCGTAGATTAACACTACTTAACACAGATATTTCCCAAACACTCCAAATTAATTAATAACAATTCTGACTAACTTACTTATCTCGCTTGTAAAAAGGGAAGTATTTTTAGATAGGATTATAATTGCTTATTTGGTGCATATCCTGTAATTAAATTGTAAACATAAACTGATTGCGTTTTAGATTTGTTATAACAATTTTGTTTATTAATATATTTATATTATTTTTTGATATTTTGTAGATACTTTATCTAGTAGCATTTATACTAAATATGATTATTGTAAAGTAATTAGTTTATGAGTAGTTAACAAAACAAAAGAATGTTGTATTAATGTAAATTCATATTTTTAAGACGTTTTTCAAATTAAATTCCTTGTAACTTTTGTAATTATTTGTGTATTAGTTAATTATTTATAAAATTTATTTTAAAATTAATTAATTATTGTTTGTGCCAAATTAAATTATTGTAAGTCAATTAGTTAATAACTTATAAACAAAAAATGATCATTTAAACATTAATTATTTTCATCAATCTACATCAATTTAAACAACTTGTAACTATTTTGTTAACTAAGATATTTATTTGATTTTATGCCAATGTTTACATAATATACCTAGTAATAATTGTATTAAATTTCATCATCATACTATAATTACTTTGTAACTTATGAATAAAAATGTATCGACAAAACTTAAATCAAGTATTAAAATTTTCTTGAAAACAATTTCAATTTTAACACCCGGTAACTCTTGAATTAATAAACAAATTGCTTTAATATTTTGCACACATAAACATAATTTAATTATTAATTCTTAAGCAAAATATAAACAAATTTTATGCTATATTTACTTAATTATTAACAAAAACACATTTAAAATCAAAAAATTTCAAACTTCCCCAAATGAAAACTAAATAATTCATAAATTAACTTCCTCAATAATAATTCAAAATAACTCTTAATTAAAATAATTATCTGATTCGGAATAGAATGTTTAAATAATATTTGACATTGAAATGTTCTTGTTTAGTAAATGAATAAATTTGAATACTCACACCGGGCTTAAATTTGGTTAGCAGTTTTGTTTAGCATTGAACTTTGCAAAAAATAAACTAGGTTTATGTCGCTGTCGCAATCCCGCATCATTTATCTGCGACAACGCACAGCAAAACAAACACGAGCGGTGAACTTGACTTTGTTTAATTTGAGTCTTAATGCTAATTTCTAACGTCTACATCATCACCTTAAACGTAAAACCACCAAATATAAAAGGACATTTTTGCGCATGCGCGAGTGACTTAACGCGTAAATCAAAGTAGGCGGAGCAAATTGGAAATATTTTGTTATTATTGTATTTTTAACTGTTTGTTTATAAAGTATACATTTTTTACTGCGCATGCGCGAGTGACTTATCGTGTGAGTCAAAATAAGCAGAGTAAATTGGACATATTTATGTATTTTTAAACGTTTTTAAATAAACATTTATAAAATATTTTTATTGCGCATGCGCAAGTGACTTAACGCGTAAGTCAAAATTAATGAAGCAAAATGAACGAATTTCTTGTATTTTTTAAGCTTTTTAAAATAAATATTAAAAAATATATTTTTAATGCGCATGCGCAAGTGACTTAACGCATAAGTCACTGTAGGCGGAGCAAAATGTACATATTTTTGCAATTACTGCATTTTTAAGCGTTTTAAAATAAATATTTTTATTTTTTATCGTCGTTGATGACTTTAATAATATATAATAAAACATAATCAACGTCGTTTTATTGTTTAAACAAAAATAATCGCACAAACAATAAAAATGAAAAATAATGAACACGGAACTCGGCTTTTTTCTTTTTCTTCTTCTTGGTAGTTGCTTAAATCGTAATTTATGTAAGTGTATAATATTATAATGAAATAAATATGTGTGAATAATTAAAGTGAGCGTTTGGACGTGTTGGCGGTCGTCGGCTGTCGGCACACACGTTGCTTGCTGGTGATTTGTAATTTGTGGCGAATGTTTCGAGCAGGTCTCCGCACGTCAAACCAGCGCACGTTATATGCCAGGTTCGTCGGTCGTTATTGCTCATTATGTGCGCACCGATACCGCGCGATACACCTGTCTAACTGTCTTACAAACTGAAAATGAAATAATTAAAAAAATAGTTGAAATTGTTTAAATTGTTGAATTTATTGGATGTGAACGGGAATGAAAGTAGAAGTGTCACGCGTGTGTTATTTTTATTGTGTGCCCTTTAAACGTGAGTGAGTTAGGATGTGTTAATTTGAGAGTGTTTTGAATTTGGCGTCTCGCGATGGTGCGTAAGCAGTTGATTCGGATGCTGCGCGGCGGTGACAAGTACAGCTGCAATAAACAATCGCAGATTCAGGGTGATAATGGACTCAAGGATAAGGATTATCTATGTCATCAGGTGCTCGAGTATGAGAAGGGACAAACTATTGTAAGTCACCAAGGAATAATTTTAAATATTTAAAGAAACTGAAATTTTTTAAATTTTTTTTCAAAATTTGTTAATAATTTGTTAATAATGAGCAAAACAAGGAAAATTTGTTCAAAAATTAAATAGAAATTATTCAGTTTTGCCTTAAAAGTACATTATGGGTTTAAATTTTGTTAAAAAATCAAAAAAAAAAAATTTTTCCAAAAATTTTCAAAAATTTAAAAAATGCCAAAAAAAATTAAAAATAAAAACTTTTGTCATTAATTAACTAAAATTTATTTTTTAATTTCTCCTATTAACCAATTTTTGTTTGTCAGACAGTTTTTGGATACAGACCGAATTTCCTCAAAACAATCATTAGTTATCTTGGAATTGTCTTAACACTCGGTATATTACGCCTAATATTCCACTGGTTCCCAAAATTTTGGATTCTCTGCACTCACGATAGAGATTATCTCAAAACATGTTCCCGGTTATTAATTGAAGTAAGTGAATAAAATACAATATTCAACTTAACCTAACTTAACCTAACTTAACCTACATTATTCCTAAGGATAATTACAGAGGAAAATGGAAAACGTATGCAACTGCCCCAATAAAAATATTAACCCTACCAAATTATGGAAAACAAGTATATTACCTCAAGGACAACATCCTTAAAGGTACTAAAATATATTAATTATCCTTAAAATATTTTTATTATCATATTTTAAATATTTTTGTAGAAAATGATAACGTGACAACTTTTACTTACAAATCAATACGATTTGTACTAGAAGACGATAAATTTGAACCACTTTGTGGGTTTAGCGATGGTTTACCCAACAATGTCCTGCATACTTTCCCAGGACTCTCAGATTCCGAACGTAGTTCCAGATTGAATGTCTACGGACCAAACGAGATCAAAGTACCAATGACACCAATTCTACAACTGGTACTCTTAGAAATTCTAACTCCTTTCTACATCTTCCAACTTAGTAGCTTGACCCTATGGATTATCGAAGGATATATTTATTTTGTAATTGTGATAATTATCCTTACAATCCTTGGAGTTGGTGGACATGTTTACCAAACACGAAAAGTAACTATTTCATTACTTATCTTAAACCTACTTAACTTAAGTCATGTTAATTTTTAGAATGAAAGTAACCTGAGAAGAAGGGTCAAAGCCAAGGACACCGTAAAAGTCTACAAAAGACTATCCCAAGATAAAAAGTTACCTCCTCAGGATACCAAGATATTTTAGTAGAATCATGTTCAACAGAATTGGTCCCAGGAGATTTGGTCCAACTCAAAGAAGGATATGTTTACTGTGATGCCATTTTGTTATCAGGGACTTGTCTGGTTGATGAATCAATGCTCACTGGTGAATCCATTCAAGTCCTTAAAACTCCTATTCCTAATAATAGCAATCTCTATAACCTGGAAGACTCAGCCCCACATATCCTCTTTGCTGGTACCCGCATAGTCCAAGTCAACTCAGACCTCAAAGCCTTAGTAACCAACACAGGTTTCCTCACCTCTAAAGGTTCCTTGATCAGATCCATCATGTATCCACCTCCTATGGACTATGCTTTTGACAGGGACTGTACCAAATTCTGTGTTTTGATGTTTTTGATCGGAGTGGGATGTGCTATACATATTGCAATCAAAAAATCAGAACGTGGTATACCCTTAGGAGATTTAGTGATCAAAACCTTGGATTCCATCACTATTTTACTACCAGCTGCTTTACCAGCCACTTTGACCATTGGAAAACTCTACGCTTTGAAGAACTTAAAAAAGAAGGATATATTCTGTACAAATTCTAAGGTTCTGACATGTTGTGGGTCCATAGACGTGGTATGTCTGGATAAAACTGGAACCATTACAGAGGATAACCTAGATTTTATTGGAGTTGTCCCTAAAGGTCAGAAAACTATTCAGGGACAAGATTTTGAAGAGGTGGTTGAACGTGGTATGGCAGTCTGTCATAACCTAGCAACCTATGAGGGTACCCTTCAAGGTGACCATCTTGAAGTTCAAATGTTCAAAGCAGCTGGAGGAAAAATCTTAGAAGGTGATCAACAGGTATCCCTGAAAAATGGTCATATTCTAAAACTCCTAGAAAGATACCAGTTCTCTAGTAACCTTAGAAGAATGAGTGTAATTGTACAAAATGGGTCATCACCAGACTATGAGATATTCTGTAAAGGGTCACCTGAAATCATAAAACCACTTTGTAAAAACTCCTCGGAGATATCCGATGAAGATCTTCAGAGTTTAACCAAACAGGGTTATAGGGTAATATCATTGGCAACTAGGAAATTCTCAGGGATACCTCAATCCCACCTGGAGACACTTACCAGAGAAGAAATAGAAACAGACCTTGAATATTTAGGTTACTTGGTGTTTGAAAACAAACTGAAACCTGGTAGTAAAAATATCATCCAGGAATTGAAACATGGTAACCTAGCTATCAAGATGATTACAGGTATGACCACTTTTAACAGGTTAATTTTGTTTGGCATTTCATGATTAGGTGCTTTGCAGGTGATAATATAGAAACAGCTATATCTGTAGCTAAGGAATGTGGTATCATACCTGAACATGAAAGTGTTAAGGTTTTGACCAGTTTACCCAGCACAGCATCTTCAGAAAGTTTGAAGACCATGTTGAAGAGTGTGGATCATCTTGCTGTGACAGGCACAGTATGGTCCCAGTTGATGACCATTATGGCCAAGGATGAAGGGTTGTTGAAGAGCACCCTTCCAAAGATACAGGTTTTTGCTAGGATGGCTTCCAATCAGAAACAACAGGTTGTAGAGCAGTTTCAGGGACTTGGGATGAATGTCTGTAAGTATAACCTATTTTTAACTAATTTGGGAACTTATTTGATGGTATCTTGTTTTTAGGTATGTGTGGGGATGGTGCAAATGACTGCAGTGCCCTGAAAACAGCAAATGTGGGCATATCCCTAACAGAAAGTGAATCTTCAATGGCTGCCCACTTGACCTCCAGAGTCCAGAACATCTCAGCTGTGTTGGATATAGTCAGGGAAGGTCGTTCTGCTTTGGTGACAACCATAACCATGGTCAAGATTATCCTCACAACCAATATAGTCCAATACATTGGATTACTACTCCTTTATGAATTGGATGCTAGTTTTGCAGATCTACAATTCCTTTATCTTGACCTGCATATGTTGATCTATGGGTTCTTTATTGGTTATGTAGATGCCTACTCAGGACCACTAAGTCCCAAAGCACCTACCAAGTCCTTAGTCTCCCTAAAACCTAATTTATCCATAATAGGTCAACTCATCCCAACTCTTTCCTTCCAATTTCTGATTTTATGGATGTTAAGGTCCCAGAATTGGTTTAAACCCTACCAGCATGACACAGAAGTGGGCAATGACTTCATGTCCTATGAAAATTACGTGGTTTTCACTTTGGGTTTATTCCAATACACATCCATGGCAGTAATCTACTCAAGAGGTAAACCATACCGGAAACCCATGTGGACCAACGTGACCTTGATGACCTGTATAGTAATCTACCTCTGTATTGATTTAATCATAACTCTGGGAGATATCCAATGGTTAAATGGTCTTTTCGAATTAATGGTACCCTTGGATACAGAATTCAGATGGATGATAATAGGCATAGCAACAGCTCACTTTATCACCTCTTTGATTATAGAAGAAGTATTCATAGAAGGACTCATATCAAGGTTTATCCTTGACAGAGGTCAAACATGTCAAAACGTAAAACAAATAACTGAAGCATAAACCCTGTATATTTAAAAATAAATATTATTTTGGTAATTTCCGCTTCCGGAAAGTATCATCAATCATTAATCATCAATGTTCATCATGATGCTCGTCCTTGTTTATCCTTATCGAGGTCCTGTTAATGGAAAACGCTTCCATCGAAGCTTAATTGCAACGGATTGCCTCGGTAAATTGCACCTTGCCAACCTGCAGCGCCGATATGCACTGATGTGATGTAAAGCGCCGCAGGACGAAACAAGGATGCACATGGCGGCGTTTGCCAAAGGGGTGGTTTTTGCATTGCGCGGCTTCCTATCAAAGCCAAAAGGTACATCAAACGAGCAAAAGCTTGAAAATCAATCAATTACTCTCTCGTAGTAATATCCTGCATAAATATTACACTCCAAGTAAATATGCAGAATTTAATTATCCTGAAAGTCCTCCCGGTGGGTTATTTCAATATGTGAGTAGTCGTATAAGATGGACAAAAGTTGAAAATATTCGCGAGTTGTGTTTTTCTTTGCGCGAGTGTCCTTAGAACTTTTTAGAGCTTTAAGGAGTCTGAGAAATTAAATCCAAAGAGTACGGAAGCTCAAAGATGGTGGAAGCGCATTATATAAGAAAACTTATCGCGGCGACTTAATTATAAAGTTTTCCAGGTTTTCCGCCCGATTCGAGCGTTATCCTTGCGTTCAGTGGACTAGTTTCAGCCGCTTTCAATGTTTACCACTTTTCTGACTCTAGTTTTCCAATTTTCGACGTTTTAAAGGCTTAATATTGAAATGTGTCACATTTAAGGATCAAGGACAATTAAATATAATATTTTTTCTTCAAATATAAAAATAAAAAAATTTTTGCAATTCCACTTAAGAAATAAACATTTTATTGTATCATATTGTTTATTATCCTTAAAAAAATATTTTACGTCTTCTAAGGACTCATTTGTCGCGACACACATGTCGCCTTTAAAACATTTAACGTCCTTAATGCGTATAACGCGTTTTACGTGTTTAATATCCTTAATAATAAGTTTAATGAGTTTTAAGGACAAAAGCTTGGCGATGGTGGTGTTTTACGACGGATAACACATAATAGGCATCATAACCTAACTCGTGAAACCAAATAACATAATGTCTTGTTGCCTGAGCTTTATTGGTTTTATTGCGCGATGTTATAACTTGCATTATCCTCGCAATTATTTTTGTGTTACGAACCCATTTTAAGGATTTGGATGCTACTCACTGCCAGCTTAGGATTTCAATCAGGACTTTAATCATGTATGAGTGTGTGTGTGTGTAAATGTTCGGCACTTTTGTCTCGAGCTTTTAGAATCTTAGTCCTGCTGCTTTGTCCTGTCGTCTGGTATCGTGCGGCGCGTTCAAAAGGATCGAAAATAGATTAATCTCTGCTTCCATCAAGAGGGGAAATACTACGTTTCTTAACACTCACTGAAAAAAGCTTTTCGAAGAATCGTCCTTGAAAGCTCGAGCTTTTAAAACATCAAACGTAAAATTTTTAGTATTAGTAAATTTATTTTCTTTAAAAATTTATTTAAAAAGTGAGCTTTTGAGCTTTTGAGCTTTTTTGAAAACTTGAAATAGTACAACTTTAAATAATGGATTATAACTAGTAATTGCTAGATTTGTGACGAAGTGTATTCTGTATTGCAAGATTGAAGCAGCTTTCGCTTGATTTAAAGCTTTCGCTGAGATGAAGAATAGGATTTCAGGATTATCCGTTCTTGCTGTCCCTGATTCAGATTTAGATTTAGGTTTTCTTCTTTTCTTTGTAAGCAAAAAATAAAATAAAAATATAAATCCCGGCGCCTCCACACAATATAAGCCTATGCAGATAATTTTTAATGTTTGTTTGTGCATTCTGTAATTAATTAATTCAATCCACACGTATGTGAATATGTCGAAATTAGTGTTTTAGTTTTCTGGTTTAAACTCTGCGACTAGTTTCGGTTCAGACGAGTAGTTATAGCTGTCGGAGTAGTTTTGAGAGCTTTCGGCTGCGGCATTTAGTCATTTGAATTCACTCACGGTTTACTCACTTCGTGACGTGGCAAACCAGCCGGAACCGAAAGCTCATACTAATTTATTTACCCACATATATAAATTATACCATGTGGATAGTATAAATTTAGTCATTAAATATTTCTTAACTTAAAAAATTTAAATTTAAAAATTTTGTTTTTAAATAAATTTAATAATAAGTTTAAGTATGTTTTAGTGTTTTGATTAATATACATTTAATTAATTCCGTATTTTCCTACTTTGTGCAATTTGCATGTAAAATTCGATCGTAATCTATTCACTAATTTCACCGCAAATATCCATTTGTCGTCCAACCTCCCATTTGCTCGACAACAACGCACTCCAACACCAATTCCAACTCAAACTGCGATGCCAACGAATCCAACCAGAATTAAAGTTGTCTAGTCTCACCCTTACTTCTACCACTACCCTCTTCACCCATACATACTCCCAATATGTGTGTATGTGTGTGGTTGAATTTAGAACCGCGTTGAATTAGAAATACTTTAGAATAGTTTGCCATGCCATGATTACATCTACATCCGAATATTTTGTCTGTGTTTGTGTGTCGTGTGTGTGGAAAATTCATTTGTGTTTTGTGTTTTGTAAACAAATAGATACAAATAGGTAACGCGGCGGGAGTGTGTCGGAAAATGCCGGCGACACACTACTCGAGGAAGATAATTTCATTAGCGGCAACCTGGAGCACAGGCGGAGAGAATAGGTTTTGCTTGCTTGGGTGCTAGTGGAGGCGCCGGGCAACAAGCAACAAAATGCTCACTAATTGCTTTTCTAATATCATGATACAATACGTATTAAATTAATAAAATATAATTTAAAATATATTTTGCAATAAAAATAATAATTTTAAGTTTTTTGAGTTTTTTGAGGTTTTTGAAGGTTTTTGTTGTTTATTTAAGATGTAAGTTTCTAGTTGGTAGAAACAACATTTCGACAAGACAATTCCAGAAGCTTTTCGAACATTTTCGTACATTTCAGCAACGATCTGCGGTCATTTTGTGTAATAAATGTTGCTGCGCAGCGCAATAACTGTCGACGCTTAACCAAACAATACTGAAACGTTGTATTTCCAAGAAACCGACAGAAAACCAAAACAAGCAACTAAAATTATACTGCAGTTAAAAAAATATCTCAAATGTTAATTTTTTCTGCTTTTAAATTGAAAATAAATTTTTAGTTACTTTTAGTATACGGAAAGATAGTGTGGAGGAGCCGGGTATACAAGGCATATAGAGTTTTAATTACGGTGATTTTGCCATTAGTAGAATGTTCTTACATCTTACCACATGTTTTCATTTTACGACCGACTACAAAGTGCACAAAAGCTCTGAAAAGCTCCTTTGAGTTTTATTTCTAATGTCTAGTTTCTAGTTTCTGTCATTTGATCAAGGATCGTTTAGATTCCTTCCATCCAACTCTCTTCATTGCTTCTTTAGTTCTAGTTCGTCCTGCGGGAAGTCATTGTCGTAACATAAGAAACATAAGGAACATTAGCAACATTAGCAACGTTTGAAATTTCATGAAATATTTTTAGATTTTTAGATTTTCATAAATTTTTCTATAAAATCTGAAAAATAATTAATAAAAATATTTTGTTTGGCTTAAAATATTCTTAAAATATATTTAAATTTCTCAAAAGATAATCCTTAAAATATTTTTTGAGATTCAGTACGTTTAACTCGCTTTAGAGATTTTTTTATTTCCTGCTGACGTTGTGCTACTCCTGCGAGGGGAATTTTCATTAAACTCTCCTTTTATTTCGGCGATGATTTCGCCGTTTATGGCGCTCCGGGGCCGTGCCACGCTTACTCCTTGATTTCATTCTTTGCTTCATCCCTAAGTCTCGTCCTTTAAAAACCCGACGACCACACGAACACAAGCTGAACTTGCGGAAGCAAAGAGTATCCAAATGCTATACTTTCGACTTGATTCAACAGAGTTAAAATGAAAAAAAATGCTTAAAAGACCAAACATAGGATGTGAACGTGGCGAATCCGTTGCCATACCGGAAGGGACGAATGCAAGAGTTGCATTTTAACTTGCGATTAAGTTTGTTTAATGAACCATTTCTTTGCGGGCGAGAAATTTCCTACTTTTCCGGTTTTCCGGTTTTAGTTTAGCACGCGATAATATTAATGTTTGAAAATATACTCACCATTTAATAAAATTCTTTTATTTATTTCCGGTTTGTGATGTGATTTCCGGTTTGCTGTAATTGGTCCTGAAATTAAAGAAAAAGAAATCTTATGAGTATATTTTTATTGCTTGCGTTTAATTTCACTTGGTTTATATTTGTTTACTTCCGCATATTTACCCTCACCGGATGTAAACAGTAAATACGTTAAGGACGTAAGGATCCAAGCATGCTGAAAGGAATGTGGCGCTTTCGAAGAGGAAATTGTCGAGAAGAAATTTCGAGGTTGTGTTTAGCGATCGTTAATTTAATTTGCCTCTGACGCATTTTCATTAATTTTATGATCGCCTCAAAGACGGAAAACCGGAAAATTAAACCGGAAGTTTTAATTAAACTTCATATATACTAAAAATAAACATTTTTACCACTACTTCCGGTTTTCCGGTTTTCGGCGGAAACATGTTTATTCATAGTAATTGTTATTACAGCATGTGTAGTGTATGTGAATCACGGCAATAAGGACGAAAACATGTCTGCCACAAATCCCAAACAGCATTAAGAACATTAAGCGTAAAACATTCAGCAGGCTAAATGGACGCTTTGGCCGCCGAGCGGAATACAAAATGGCTTCCTGCAACGCCATAACCAACACCAGTAGAATTCCGCACGAAGAAAGAAATTGTCGAAATTAGTTCCGTTCGTTTCGGAGAAATCCAAGCGCCGAGGATGCAATTCCAGACGGGCAGTCAGTGGTTAATAATTAATAAGGACGAACGGGCAGTGCCGGATCAGGATAGTTACCCGATTGCCCGATTGCCCCATGGTCGGAGAGTGGCCATCATTGTTTTGTTACGTGCGCGCATTCACATTCACAGATGTAATCCTTATTGCAATCCGTATCCTTACAAGCAAGGATAATTGACGACGCAGTGGTGGTTGTAGTATTAGGTAATCTTGAGTAATGGAAACAGAGTGATGGCTAATTTGGAAGCCATTTTCGGTTGGAGAGAATTATCCTTGTATATTCTCACGCCAATTAACTGGACAAGAAGGACAATAATCAACAAATTACAAGGATAAAAATCAAAATATATTATTAAATATCTTCTTAAACATCTAAAAATTAAGAAAAATAATTTTTTATCCTTAAAAATCAAAAAATATTTTATTATCCTTTAAAAAACACAAAAATTTTAAAATTTAACAAATTTTTCTTTCTATTAACCTAAAATATTTTTTGAAATAATAAGAAAATATTTATTATTTTATTCCTTTTAGTCCTTAAAATAACTTCTATTTGCAGATGTAATGCTCAAGCTGAAATGATCAAACAATCGATGGCCGGACAGGATAATTGCGAAGCGAGCCACGTCGAGCCGTTCGCGTCAACCAATTAGTCCTGTTAGCTCTGCCCACTCGTCCTGTGAGTCCTTGCTTGTATTGCTAGACAAACCACTCAGTCTTTGTGTCTGACTCGCAGCCAGGATCAATTTCGGAATTCTCTTTAAAATCAACACAAAAAAAAATTAAGGATAATTAATTGTTAATTAATATTTTTTGTGTCCTGTTTTTACTTTATTTAGTCAATCACACATCCAGACATCCTAATAAGCAAATAATGATTTAGTCAATTCAGACAGACGAATATTAATCAAAGACAAAGACAAAGGACCTTCAAAGGACAAAATTTACTGAGGCAGACATCCTTGTATCCTGTGGATATTCTGATATGCATGGATACCAACCAGACGTCTGGATACACATTATATTTAAAAATATTTATATTTGGGTTTGTTATTATCTTTACCGGAAGGATAATAAAATTGTTTTGTTTTAGAATGAAATAAAACATGTTTAATTATTTGTTTCCGCAACACATTAATTTCAATTTTCTTGTCTTTGGTAAATTCAGCCATTTCCTGCAATTTGGGTCCTTTTCGTCCTGTTGCTAGTTTCTTAGCTTACGTTCGGCTTGGCTTAACTTTGAACGGTTGGGCTTTCATTAACTTTGCTCGCCCTTCTACGTGCGCCCCTTTATTCCTGTTTTACTTTATTGCTCTTGCTGGTTCTACTTTTACTCCTTGCTGGTTAGTCCTGCAAGCTCTCCAACAATTTCTCACAGTTTAGTTTTCCATTAAGCTTCTGGGGTTTTCCTCCTACCTGGATAACTGAATACTACTAGAGACTTTTTAGAGCTTTCACTGTCAACCTAAGGAAAAATTTAAAATAATTATCCTGAGTTTTTATTTAAGGATAATCAAGTATTATCCTTGTTTAAAAAATATCCAGCTGATAAAATCTGCCTAGTTGGTTTTAATAGAAATTTGTTTGTGTGGTTTTCAATGGATTTTTTGTCCTCACTCAACCACCAAGTTGTTTTGCAGCGTTATCCTTGCGCCACAGGTAAAAATCTTCATTTTCATGAAAGGCAAACGCGCATTTAGATTTTTTCCTATCCTATCTTTTCTTAGTCCTCGCTTAGGCGATAACGTGCGCCGCATTCGTAAACCAGTCCGCGCTGGATCCGCAGGACGCAAGGACCTTTAGGACCTCAACGCGCGCGGGCGTGGAAAACACCTCGTGAATTATTTATCGGCGCCGGCTTTGCTCATGTTCCAGGTCGGTCTTTTTATTTAGCTATTTTTTCGTATTCCTCCTCGTTGCTGCTTATTTTTTCTATTTTCCAGGACCTTCAAGAAGCCATCTTGTTTTCATGGTGTTTCATTATATTACCTACAGTCTGTTTCTGCTGATAAAGGTGGAATTAGGAGGGTTGAGTTAGGCGCTGGTCAGGAGGGACACGTTGTATGTTTTTATGAAGAGGCCATTCAGGGATAACCGGAAGGATGCGTTTGGAAAGCGAAAAAAGAAAAGATACAAACTGAAGACTTGCGAGGTTTTTTTTTCTTATATAAGGAGTTGAATCGGTTTGTTTGGCGGATCTCGAAGGATTATTGAAGTGTAGGGATGGTACCGCACATTACGGTTAGGCAATTTTTACACATCGACAAGTCCTGCATATATTGCTAGCATATTATTCCCGGCGCCTTCACAATCACAATTTTTATATTGCATATTTGCTTTTTTTTAGTTTTTTGATCATAATTCTTGTAATTTTTGAGATAAATAAATATTTTTTTAAACAATGCATTTGTAATTAAATTATTTATCACATGCAATCTGAAAAAATTAAAAATATTTATTAGTTTCTTAGTAATTAATTTTTTTGTTTCTGTGTTTACCAAAATTGTGTTTTTTTAAAACTTTTTTGATTATCCTGATCGTAATTTTTGAAATTTTTGAGTTTTTCAAGCTGAATTATAAAGATAAATAAATATTCAATCAAATACTATAGAATATTGTTTAAAATTTATTTTAATTATAACTTTTATTAAGGATTTAACTTGAAAAAACAAAAATAATTAAAACGTAAATAAATTTTCACGGTAATAAAACAAAAATAAACCGTAATTTATGTTTATGTACTGTGTGTAAATTGAAAATGATTATCCAATTCAAGTATTTATTCAGCGTCGTCAAAGTTTTGCGTTTTGCGCACTTGAAGAAAGCTAATGAAAGCCGAACTTTTCCGCCGAGCTTTCCACCCCCTGCGTGTCGCTTGGAAGCGCGTGGCAACGGCGTAATGGAGTAATGGCGTAATGGAAAACTATAAAATTAAATGGATGTTTGTTTATTTGCGCCGACCCGCGCATCCCCCATCCTCCCATCCTGGTGCGCTTCACGCCCATTAGCTGCTTTCTGCTTTTATTTAATGGCCGTTTGAAAAGTTTGCTTTGAGTCGAGCGTCGGGCACGGAAATCAACGCGGGTCGAGTGCGCCATTTCGGAAAGAAAATGTTTTTCATCTGCGCTGTAATAAGCATTAATTGAGTTGCGAGTATTGCAAAAAATAAAATCACTTAACGCTCAGTTTTGTTACCGAAAAAGTTTCGCCAAAGTGAAAATTACGAAATGAAATATTTTAGGTTTTTGCGTGTAACTTTTGTAATTTTAGTAATAACAAACTAATTTTTTACTAAAATATAGCCAATTAAATTATTTACCAAGAACCATTTTAATTTTTCATAAAATATTTATTTAAATAATTAATATTCAAGCTTAAAGTGAAATTTATTCAAAAACATTATTTTTTCAATTTCTAACAAAACAATATTATTTATTCTACTCTAGAGAATATAAAATAATATGAAAATGAAATATTTTATTTAATCCACTTCATAAATCCATGAAAAACATGAAAAAAATCCACAATATTCCAACAGATAAAACAATTCAATCACACGAAGTGATATTCATTAATAACAATTAATAAAAATATATCCAACGACATTAAAGTAATATTTTCATCCAATATATCACACGGTGTCACATTTCATTTGGTTGCATACATCACAATCTATTATTTCCGTGATTTTCCGATTTTCAATCCTTGCGTTTGTCACCAGGGGTGGTTGGGGGTTGATTTGTTATTCGAGGGTAGTGGGGTATAAATTCAAGTCGAGCGATGGTCATTACTCACGCGCGGCGCGCAATGTTTTCATAAATTTTCGAAAATGTTGAAATGTGGAGGCGCCGGGCATTATACGCGTATAATGGAATAAAATTTTTATTTCTTTTATTATGCCAGTATAAATCTTGTAGTGAATATCATGGACTACTTGAGATTGTCTGTAATTGTTGTTATGTCTGTTATTGACGTGTTTGGTAATTTCATCCCTTGGCTGAATTTGTCCGCGGCGTGTTTATCGAAGTGTGTTCGACCCGCCGCGCTGTCATGTTGCGATTTGGCCCCAATCACATTCGCAATCGCAATCACAATCGTTGTGTTATTGTCGTTGTCATTGTCGCTGTTGTTGGCGCGCGTTGCTCTTTCCGTGCCAGTGGGGATGGGGTGCGATTACGCGGAATATCGAATGGATCGCGCTCCGCACTTGATTAAAACGCGCGCGTTACATTTATTCGCAGCATCGGAATTGACGATAATCAATATTGGCGCGCTTCACGAGCGCAATAAACCCTTCGAGGGTTGTTGATACACTGACAATATAAAATAACAAACAATAGATA